ACTAAAGACATCTTCTTTATTTAACTACTATATATATATATATATATACACACTCTTGTTAATTTTTTGCTTAGTGGTGTGCCCTGTGATTTTTCCAAGTGGAATCACGTCATTTTTGTTGGGGTTTTTTTTTGTTCTGAAAAGACTGAGTCACTCTTACCAGAGGACCACCACCCTGTGTCGAAGTTAGTCAAATGCAAGCCAACAGTTTGTTGAAATTTATTGTGGACCGTGGAGTAACGGAACCGGAATGCGGACACCGTTTTCAGAATGTGCCGTAATTGGCGCACAAGGTTTTGGAACCCAGGCACTGACAGGTAACAGAGCAAGGGGCAGGGACAGGGGGAGGGGCCCAACTAGCCCCGCCTACTCCATTTCGCGTCTGTGCAGAAGCGCAACTTGTCGGGCGGGGCGTGGTGGGTTTGGAGTAACAATACAGTACTGTACTATCCGTTTGTTTTCTTTCGCTTGATCTTTTTTTGAATTTTTATTTTTTCATCTCACAAAAAGAAAGCTTGCTATATCCAATCGCTCTCAACAAATGACACGCCTTCCAGAAATACGCACGAAGTGGTTGATTTCTTGTACAATTGTAACTTTTGAACTGGGGGGGTGGGGTGAACGATGTTCGAGAAAACCTTTAAGGACTTTAACCTTAATTTTAGCGCTCTGAATGAGAGCAACACTTTTTCGAGCGGAGATCTGGTGACTGGGCAGATTTCCTTCGAGCTCTCCAAGGTGACAAAGATTAGATCAATCACAATGTGTTTGTTGGGAAAGGCAGACGTCCACTGGTCCTCCGGAAGCAGGAAACGTAGAAGGACGTATTATGCAAAGATTGATTTTTTCAATCTCAAAAGCATGATTTTGCAAGAAGGAGGTAGGTGCCTGCCAGTTCCGCCCCCTGCACCGCAACATTGTAAACTACAGTACGGCACTCTCACCCACGACATAATGCGATCCCGTACAATTGCCGCAAACATAAATCTGTCTTTACTTAGGCAATAATGCTCTATTACAAGTAATTATGCATGTGACTGCAAGTGCTTTGCTCTCATTGCTGGGGGGAAGTGTAATATGTAGCACCTATCCAGTGGATGCTCTCATCAAACATCCCATTGTATGAAAACATAAATTGGTTGCTCCGATACATTGTCAACCAAACAAATTGGTAGAGAACAACTTTTGAATCTCTGTAGATTTAGCCTGTGTAAAAAAAAAAAAAAGTGGCCGGTGAGTTTGGTATGGTGTCACAACGCTCCTTCCCCTTTGCAGCTGTTGGGGGCCCCGCTCCTCTTCCTCCTGGCAGGCATGTGTATTCATTTACATGTCAGATCCCGCAAGGGTAAGAGCCTTTTGTGTGTCTCTCCTGTACGTTGTCATCTTTTTGTGTTTTACCTACTCCTGTGACCCTAAAAATAAACTTACTGAGATAGATTTCAACTTATGCAGGATACACTCACCTGCCACTGTAGTAGTTCAATTGACAACTAATATTTTTTTTTTCAATCAGTACATCAAATATGGTGATCAGGTGATTAACATATCGTCCGTGCAGTTGAGGTTGGAGGTTCAAATCCGGCCGAGTGGTGCTACATTTAAAAAATTTGCATGTTAAGTTCATTGAAGACTAGTCTAAATCAGTGGTGTCCAGACTACGGCCTGGGGTCGATTTGCCGCCTGTCATCCTTTTATTTATTTATTTAGTTTTAATTATTATTATTTTTTGTGTGTGTGTGATAAATGGATTAGAATATGGATGGATGGATGGATGGATGGATGGAAGTAAACACTGCTTTAAAAATGGCCAGCTCATTTCAAATTACTCTTGTTTTAGTTTTGAATGTGAAGTTCTCATCGGGGCAAGGGTGGACCTACTCTCGCGAGATACGGGGCTGCAGGCTAACACAAAATCATGAAAAACTACTTGTCTTATCACCTTTCACAGATAAATAAAAATAGCAACACAAAAAAAATGCTAAAATTACTGTCATACATAATTTCTTTCTTAGTTTTAGGATGGGAAAAATAAAGTAGAAGAATGTCAAAGGGGCATTTACATTCTTTGATTTTTCTGTATGCAGCTTTCAGATGAAAAAGTTTGGACAGCCCCTCCTTTCAATTGTCCTTCAATGTGAGTTGAATGTTTGTGCCCTGCGAATGGCTAGCAACCAGCTCACGGAGTATTACACCAATATCTATAGTCGAGGTTTGTCCTTTGTAGTGATGGAATTCGGCATACATAGTTTCCGCAGTTTTGTCCACTGCACATCCACAATGTCAGAGTCCTGTTCAAATACATCCCAAACAATTGAACAAGTGTACCGAATAAAATGTCACGTGAGTGGACCTGAAATAGGTTGGTTTTCCACACGTAATGGATTTTTAAAGGAAATTATGAATGATTGCTATTTAGAAGCGATGACTTTTGTCATGTCATGTTCATCGATGCAGAGACTTTCCATCCAGTTTCCGTGGGCCTTATGGACAAATCGTCTACAATCTGACAGTGGGCATTGACAGGCCATGGCATATGTCAAAGGATTTTGTGACACAGTTGAACTTTGTGCATCATGTTGATTCCAATCAGCCAGAGCTTATGGTAAGTTCTAGTTTACACGCTCATCATTCGATTTTGCAGATTCAGAATATGGACTGCTGCATTTTATAGACCAGAGTTTACATTGCCTATTATAGCTGCAGAACACACAGCGTGAACCTCTAATGCGTTCATATTCAAAAAATTTTGGGGGAAAAAATGGAAATATTCAGTTCAAACTGAAATGATCAGCCAAATTGCAGAAGTTAACCACGACACCAATATACTCTGTATATAAGCAGAAAGGTGGCATCTACCTCATGGTTCTGAGGTCAGGGTTCCAATCCAGTTTCCGGCTCTCCTGTGTGGGGTTTGCCTTTTTTTCCCCTGTACTGGACCCCATTTTCCTCCCATTTTCCAAAAACATGTATGTTAGGTTTATTGAAGAATCTAAATTGTCCTTTTGGTATTTTAGGGCAAATGGTTGTTTTTCTGTTTATCTATATGTGTACCAAGAGAAAAAAAAAATCTGGCATCATGCTGCCTGTTCATTTAGGTTGGTCAAAATAATTTCTGTTTCATTGTCTTCTTGTCTGTTCTGTGGTCTTTTGTGAAATTCTCATTCCTCTTTGCATCATTGGTCCTCTTCTATGATAGTGATAACAAAAACACCCTGGTACAGGTGTTTTTGTTTCGATGCTCACCGAACTGAATTTTCAGATTTTATTGTTTGTTGACATCCCGCATAAGACTGTTCAAACTTGTGTTTTTGGTGCAAACTTTGAGGCATATTTTCCACCCAAATTGTGAGCTTTGTACTGATTTTTTTTTTTTTTTTTTAACAGTCTCCCCTCTCAGGCTCCAACAGCATGAGCGTGTGCTCGCTTAGTTGTACCTCCGGTCTGATCACAATGACAGGCAGTGTGGGAAAAAAAGGCTTCACACGAGGTAATGTTCAACCCTTCCCCACTCCACCTGTGTGAAATTTCCATTCATTGAATTCATGTTAACACACTTTTTGCAGGTGAAACCATCCGGATCATTTGCAACTTCAGTAACGCTTCATCTCGTACGGTGACTCCTAAGGCCATGCTGAAACAGAAGCAGCAATACTACACACGTGAAGGGGTCCACAGAAGGTTAATTGCGAAAAAATTGGACTCTGTGACTGGGCTGCCAATCAGTGCTCACACCGAAGAAACACACACTGAGATGACGCTTACCATTCCTGCTGAATCATCCCTCACCATCTCCAACTGCAGCCTCCTTCACGTTGAGTATGAAATTGAGGTAAGAACGACCAATTGGAATAACGTTAAGTCCTCTTGAATATTTAGATTTTTGATCATTTCCTGTTTTGTCTCTCTTGTAGCTCAGCCTTTGTCAAAGAGCTTCCCCGGACCTCACCGTGGTGTTTCCCATCGTAGTTTGTGACATCCCTTTACGTCCACATTATGTAGACTAACCTTTTGAAAGTACTTTTTATGAGATGGGGATGCAGTACTTTTGAGTTTACAGTTCGGTGGTCTTGCCCTGTGACTGGAAATGCCTTGGACCTCAAAGCTCTTCTCATGAGGCTCGCCCAGTCTCATTACCTTTTCCATTTGGTTTTTGTTACATTATGAACAATGCAAACTTTGTATTGAACAAACTTTGGCACTGCCCCATATATGGTTTGCAGTATTTTCAAGGTATTACACTTTTAACAATGTATTTGCACAGCCCAAACTTCAGGGACACTTCAACTTGATTGAATGAGTCAATACAAGAGTTGTTCAAAAAGTATTTGTTTACCATTGTAATGTTGTTCGATTTTTGATTGAAGTTGCGTGTTTTTAATGTTTGACCTTCTCCTCTCGTGCTGAATAAGATAACTTACATATATGTGAGGCAGATGTGCTGACCAGTCGGCCACCAGTTCAAATTACCAGAAAGAAAAAACGATTTTTTGCGCTTAATCCTGTCATTTGAAGCAGACTAAAACAAATGCTTGCCCTGTTCTTTTTTTTTTTTTTTGCACCGTTTTCCACATAACATGATTGTGGTTTTGGCTGAGTGATATATAATCGGGAAGCTGCATATATACTTTGAATGTTTAACATCGATGAAATTAATATGGACCATATTTGTGAACCTGACGCAATCTTTGCAATTTAATTGGCAGTTTTACACTATTTTTTTTTACAACTTTTCATACATATTAGTAATATGCAAATAAATACCTAAACATTTTTATTCTAATATTGCTGCACATATTTTACTCTCGACATCTCACTGCAGCGATGCTTTTTTAAAATGCAATTGTCATGGTTTTACTGTATAGCTTTTACCCAGAGAGAACCGACAGTGCACGCCTTTAATTGTACCACACAACCTCAAACCGCATATCATAATATTTTGTACTTTACAGTATTAAAAACAATTTGTTACCTCTGTTTCTCGTGTTTCTGTTTCTTTGACGTCATCACGTTGTCTCGCTTTTGAAATTTCTTTGATAAACAAAGTGTAATTCACGTTGCTAACATACGGGGGCAGTATTTTTGCTTAAATTACTTTCATCGATCCATTCGAATCTGTTGAATCCATTTTATTCATTGCGATCATTGGTTGAGAAATTTAGTGAACTACTCTGGTGTATATTCCGCTGTATAGATTTTTGTAGCCCATCATACAGAGAAGCGGACAAACAAAAAGTTAAGAGTGGTCATGCAAACAGTGAATAAATGTGGGAAAAGATTTTCACAGGAATCACGAAGGGCACGAGAACATTTAGCACCCATCAAGTGTAGCGCCCTGTAAAATTAAGGTTTAATCATTACCCATAACTCCTTAGAAGGAAGCTAAACCTTGCTCCTCGTATCTTAGTTGAAACAGAAGTACTGTAGTGTTGATAGCCCGTCGGATCTTTAGTCATGCAGTCCGTCGTGTCAAATAATGTCAAGAACTTTTCTGTGGAATACAACCTAGCTAACCGAAGCAATGTGTTCAGCAGCGGGGATTACATCACGGGACGTGTTGCATTCGAAGTGACAAGAGACTGCAAAATAGATTCGCTGTGGGTCAAGATGAAAGGAAAAGCAAAAGTCAGATGGTTTGAACATTATGGAAAAACAGTTGTGGTATACAAAAACAAAGAGAAATACTTCAGTATCAAGACATTTATCTTTCAGGATGGCTATGGTGAGTCATTTATCTGCAATAAGTCAGACATGACCAACCTGCTGAAAATCGTGTGTACATTTCTTCATTACCGCAGTGGCTTTGTATTTTGTTTTGATCTGAAATACTCTGAGTGCATATATTTTTCAGTGCTTTTTTTTGGAATGCTTTTTTTTTCATAACCAAAGTTTTTGCACATACAAAATATATACAGTGCTGTGAAATTGTATTTCTGAATTGAATCGTTAGATTTTAAAATAGGTCTAAATTTACATACATTGGTTTGAAGTTGCTATGATTGCTGATCCCTTGAATGTAGCTAACGTGACTCGAAATATGAAGTCGACCCACATGATTTGCCTCCATAGGCCACATAAAATTATGACGTGGGCCGAGTCTTACCTGCGGGCCTTTTTTATTTCAGTACCAGCCAATTCTAGACCAAGTCTGAAAAGACGTTTAAAAACGTCTTTGGGAGTGAGGTCTATGTTACAGTGGTTTATACTACTCTTTAAAAAAATGCTTTTTAGAATTATAGAAAAACATCTGCCTGATTAATGATGAATATGTGTGCTTCAACATTTTGATGGTACTTGTAGGACTAAGAATTTTGTATATGGTACCTGGATAAAAAAGAGAGAGAGAGAGAGAGAGAGAGAGAGAGAGAGAGAGAGAGTAGGATAGAGAGAGAAACACTGGTTTAAGCAGTTACATACGTGTCCAAACATGATAGGCATGCAGGAATGTATGGATAAAAATGCAATGAAAAAAAGTATAATTACAGAGTCATATACCAGTTTGACATTTACATTTTTCAGGTAATAATGTTGTCACTCGGGGTTCCCACACGTACCCATTCACCTTTCAAATCCCCCAAGTGTGAGTTTTATCTCTGCTCTAAATACTGTAATATCAATTTAAGATCCTGCAGATGTGCTGCTATTTTGCTAAATATGTTTGCCCAACTTTGATCTCCTCCAGAAACCTGCCGTCGTCATTCAAGGGCTCATATGGAAAAATCAAGTACACTTTGGAGGCAAATCTGAGCAGGTCGATGAGAACTGACTGCAAAGCCAAAACTCATTTCCGTGTCATTAATAAAAGACACAGTGACGCGTTTTTGACGGTACTGCCATCTTACGGGACACAACACATGGTCAAGTTTCTTTGAAACTCTGGTATAAGCACTGTCTAACTTCTTCACAATCCCCACCCCTCTCACCACCACCATCTTAGTCTCCACAGCAAGGCATCACTGAGAAGAAAATGAACTTCTTCTCTTCAGGAACAGTTCAAATGGAAGTAAATATCGAGAAAACTGGCTTCTTTCAAGGTAAGATGTTGTCTTTCAGGGTGCATTCAGAAATTCACTCTGACGCCAGAACACAACTCTGAGAGTGGGGTCTTTTTTGGGGGCACTCTGAAAAACCAAATGGCATATTTGAACAACGCTCTGAGTATTCCAAATGTCGCAGTGAAGCAGAACATGCTCAGAGGTAATCTCCTCATCAAAACCTTAATCACATTTACGGGCATGGATATAAAAAGTCTACACACCCTGTTCAAATGTTCAGGTTTATAATAGAAATAGACCAATTTTTTTCACACACACTTATGCAACCACACTATCTCAGTGGTTTTCGTTCTTCTTTTTTTTTCAATTCAATTGTAAAGGTTATTGGTCGCAGTGTAAAATGCAAATAACATCATGGTCTGATATTTTCATATCACTGAAAGTTGGTTTTTGCACAGGGGTGTGTGGACTTCTCATATGTAGTGTAACTCAAAGTCCTCTTGCACTATATGTTTTTTGTATTAGGTATCAACTGTTTTTGCAATTGATAATTTGCTGCGGGTGGAGGAGAGACAACATGAAGTTTTGAAATTGAATCGTGTGTTTAACCAGCACTCTGTACACAGTGCCACACCGTGAAATCAAATACCAACTCAACTGACTCAACTCATAAACAATTCATTTGTTTTATTATGAAAGAGATAACACTGATATCTCATTTCTTTTTTTGCAGGTGAAGGCATTAAGGTGGTGGCCTATATTCTAAACCGCTCATCTCGCGGCATCAGGCCCAAGTACTGCTTGTATAAGAAATACAGCTATTTTGCAAGTGGCAAGAGGAGAGTAGAAACCAAGAACATCCTAAAAGAGGTGGGCGAGTCTATCCCTCCTTCTGCAGGTCACTCTGTAACCAGGATCATCAGCATCCCTCCCACTACATGTGCGTCCATTTTAAACTGCAACATCATCAAAGCAGAGTACCGACTCAAGGTGTGTGTGTTGATTTGATATGTTTATAATATGGTGTTGATATAATCGAGGTAGCCCTAATGCCTAGAGTTACTATTCATACCCCTTGGACTTTTTCACATTTCCAAACATTACAACCACAATATTTAATGTTTTTTTTTTTTTTTTTTTTAATTGAGCTTTTGTACGATCAACCACCACAAAGCAGCATATTTTTTCCCTTGGGTTTTTTTTCATTTCCAAAGATTACAACCACAATATTTAATGTTTTTTTTTTTTTTAATTGAGATTTTGTACGATCAACCAGCACAAAGCAGCATATTGTTGTGAAATGGTATGCAAATGGTCCACAGCTGTCAGCAGAATTTTGACCAGGTGCAGTCTAAATATGTCGCTTCAAAGGGATCGATAACAAATGGTCAATGGCCGTTACTTATATAGCACTTTTCTATCTTTGGTACTCAAAGCGTGTCACATTTTTTCCTTACGGACCGATTGATGATGCAGTATCGGGGGCAATTGGGGGTTCAGTATTTTGCTCAAGGACACTTTGACAAGGCCGGGGGTTGAATCCCCAACATCTGGGATGGGAGGCAGCCACTCTACCACTGAGTCATGCCGCCTTGGTTCCATTTATGGAAGAGTGTTCATGACAAATGCAGAAGGCATGTGACGTCTGGTATCCAGCCCTGTCACTTTTTGTTAGCTCTTCACATTTGTACAGAGATTAATAAATTGCTCCGCAGGTGTGTGTTTTTTTTTCTGTTTCAGCTGAAATCCGAGGTTAATGGACTGTCCCTCTGAATAAATAAATACATAAATTCAGGTTCTTCGGAATGTTTCAGAAACCGGAATTTTGACTTGAAACCAAATATTGACTACATGCAAACGCAGTCATTGAAAGTTTGTTCAAGAGTTGGCGGTTTTGTTCCATCCATGTTTTGCATTGTATTGCATTGACATTATCACGGCTGCAACTGGACAACTTTGACTATGTCACACACCTATAATTTCAATAATAATAGTAATAATGATAATAATCATAAAAATAATAAGATTCAATCAGCCGACCACCACAGTCTCCAGTTGAAAACTCACTCTCACAGTCTCTCACACAAATATAGTCAAAGCAATCCTCGGCAAGAAACACAAGGCAAAGCCGCGTGTTTCCACGGCACCAACAGTGACGGGCTGTGTCTCGGTAATTGTTAGTGATGATTGCATTGACGGACCAAAACCCACTTCCATCGGTGCTTTTTCTGTCTTTTTTTTTTGGTTTTTCATCATTCGTCATTAGTCAGCAACACAGACCTTCCGGCACTACTGACATTCCACCTGTGGCTAAAGCCAAACGGTGGAATGTTTTTTAAAAAATTCTGGACCCTAGAATTCGTTTGAATTCGAGTTTTGGCGCCCTGTATAGTCCACAGTGCCCATTAGGTGAGAAAGGCAGATGGCTAAGAAACACAAGGCAAAGCCATGTGTTTCCACGGCACCAACAGTGACGGGCTATGTCTCGGTAATTGTTAGTGATGATTGCATTGACGGACCAACACCCACTTCCATCGGTGCTTTTGGGTGGAATGTTTTTGTTTTTTTTAATTCTGGACCCTAGAATTCGTTTGGATTCGAGTTTTGGTGCCATTTAGAGTCCACAGTGCCCATTAGGTGAGAAAGGCAGATGGTAAATCTGCTTTTCTCACCAAATGGGTGAACCGGCTCTGATTATGATGGTCACCAGTCTCACCCACAAGGAGAAAACTTTGCTGATATTACAATAGCTATGTAACTAAAGAAGGGAAAACTCCTTGCAAATGAAGCATACAAAAAATACGTCATTGAAATCATTTCATATAATATACTTTTTTTCTTTCCTAATCCTAGGTGTACCTGGATGTCAAGTATGCCTCAGACCCAGACGATGGTCACCAGTCTCACCCACAATGAGAAAACTTTGCTCATTGAAATCATTTCATATAATATACTTTTTTTCTTTCCTAATCCTAGGTGTACCTGGATGTCAAGTATGCCTCAGACCCAGAGATCAAGTTCCCAGTGGTTGTCTTGCCATCTGTCCAGGCATCTGATGAGCAGCAATTGCCCACGAAGCCTGGCTTTGAACACAATTCAAACATGGGTGGGAACATGAACTTCATGCAAGAGCCAAACTCACCACTTCCCCCAATCTATGAGGATTGTATGATGTACCCACCCTCGACTGGTTTGGATGGGAAATCTTAGAAGCTACTGCCGGTGTCACAGTGATACAATTGGTTAGCCCATCACAGTCATATGTTTTGCGTTACAATCTCGAGCATTGAACAATCTAAATTGCCAACAGAGGTGAATGTGCGTGTGAATGGTTTTTATTTTTACATGCACTGTAATTGACTGGTGACCACTCCAGATTGAAACCAGCCGCTGGCCAAAAAGCTAGCAGAAGTCAACTCCAAGTGATATGTGACCTTGATTAGCATAAGTGGTAGAAAACGATTGCAATAGATGGATGAATTTTAGTCAGTTCTCTTTTCAAGTCCGAATGAAGAACAACTGCAACATCGTTCTTAAATTGTTGTATTATTGGACATTGGATTGTTTTAGCTGGTCATTTTGCAATTAAAACGAAGTGAAGAAAATCATTTTATTTTACACTCTTGTATTAAATTACATTACAGTCAACAAAGTAGCAACGCAATAGCACAAAAGCCAGTCTCCGCAGAGTAAAGAAGCCGACATTAGTCTTGGCTGCTAGATTGGGACCATGATTTATATGTAATGGAGTGTCACTATAACATAAAATCGTTTCAATCTGAAGATTTATAGTTTGGCATACCGAATTGATTAAAAAGCCAGAAGAAATGATGAAAATGTGTAGTTTCTCAATATTCTCAACTGTTCAAAGACCCTTCACTTTTCTTTTAATTTGCTTTTTTTGTCTTTTGCCCCGTTGATGGCAAACGATGGATAGACATTCTTTTTTTTTTTAATTTCCCGCAAGTGTTTATCCCTGTAATGCCTGACCCATCAAGGAATAGCCAGAAAAATCTGATTTTTTTGGGAATGGAGATGTGGGTGGGGATTGGGGGGGTTCCATCCGGTCGACTCGCCCATTGCGGAAGGGTTGTGGTTTGGGAGATTACGAGTTATTTTAAAATCATGCCGGGCGCAGTTAAGAGCCTGAAAGTTACTTACAACGATGTCAGCGAAAGAAATGTTTTTACTAACGGCGACACCGTGACTGGACAAGTCGTTTTGGAAGTGACCAAAGATTGCAAGGCGGAGTCGCTTTACGTGAAATTTAAGGGCAAAGCTGAGGTGGACTGGAGCGAGAGACACGGCCAAACTACTGTCACTTACCAGTCAAAGGACAAGTATTTCAGCATCAAACATTACTTTATTCGAGACGGAAACGCCACTGGTACGTGTTTTTAGTTTTGTGGGGGTCGATGTTGCATTGCCGTGCAGGTCCAAACTTGAATTATTTGAGATGCCTAGAGGAACAATTTGTACTTAGCGGAAAGCGATATAATTGGAGCAAGCTGTTCTGTAACCACCGTTATTTGTTTATCATCGGAAAATAAAGCTTTTTAAATCGGAAAATTTAGTTCAACGTGTTTTCTCCGCATTCGTTCATATCTTCGAGGAAACGCCGGTATTTAGGTTTGTTTGATTGCTTTTACAAACATATTGAAGTACGCCTTTGAGCTGGCATCGGTTTGTTTACCTCGTAGCGGCAGTAGTAATGTTGTATGAGGCCACACTTACATGGCTACTTGAGTAAAAATATATAACGTAAGTATCTTAATAGGAAAAAAAATTCTAGAAGTTAAGTTGCAGAATATTACTTAAGTCTTAATGTAGCTGGCATTTGTTGTTAGTCCTAGAGCTGTAACTCGTAGGTCATTCCGGACTTGGAGGACATATTATGTCCCACTCGTCAAATATTCATTCATCCACATACAAATCCTAAAACATACAGTTTCTGAGTACATTTACTTGTCCTCAGACCAAATTAAAAAAAAAAGAAAGAATGCTTGAAAATAGTTTTTAAAACACCAAATAAGTCTGCAAGTTCCCCCTATTATGCCATTTTCCCTTGTCCCACGCCCATATTGACCACGTTCAACATTTCAAATGAAATTTAAGTTTCATTTTTGGAGTATTGGGTTTTTTCATTGTTGTCTTTTGTAAGTGTGGGAACATTTGTTTTAATAAAAATAATCTTTCAAATAAGAATTTCCATTCATGGAACGTGTGTCCCACAACATGCACGCAACCCTGTTGCCATAACATTTTTAGCATGGCAGTAGAAGAACAAAGCGTGAATCACATGCTATGCTGGAATTGACATAATTAGTTTTTGTTCGTATTTGCAGCTCAATAACCGAGTTCCATTTACTCCTTTACTTAGACTTACGAACCCATTATTATTATTATTATTATCACTACTATTATATATGAATATGCAACACAAAATCAGAACAGTGAAGGCTTATTTTTCAAAAATGTTGAAGACTAAATGTCCTCCAATTCTGGAATGATCCAAACATACACACATCGACGCAGGTATAGAAACTATAATATGACATACAGTAAAATTAAAACATAAAAGTAAATGTAGTTGAATCATTGATGACTATGCGGGAACGATAGGATTGAAATTATTTCAGTTTTTATTCATCACGAACAGTGTTGCACTACATTGATTTCATTATAGTACTCCCACTCCTTCCCATTTTAAGTCAGTTGAAAACTGTAAATTGTGTTCTTCTTATCAGATGATCAGTCACAACTGACCAATCGGCATGGAGAAACATGTATGTATCCAACAATTTTGTTCAGCTTGCAAGGCCTGCACGATTTAATATGTAACGGTTCATCATTTCATGTGTTGTGTTTTTCAGACAGTAATTTACTTGCTGCAGGATCTCATATTTTCCCCTTCACATTTCAGTTCCCTTTGCAGTAAGTCATCTTTTGAATGTGCTTAATGAACAGAAAGACAAAAAACTCTTATAGACGATAGGATTGTGTTATGATTCTACGCTTTATATGAAAGTCATGGTCGTCTTACGTTGTGCATTAGGGAAATGCCCTCGTCCTTCAAGGGGTCTGTTGGTAAAATTGTGTACCTGCTGGAAACCAGGCTGAGTAGATCCATGAGGATACGCTCAAAAGATACCATCAAGATTCCCTTTGTGACACAAGCGGTCCCCACCATGTTGGAGGAAATCTTGGTAAGTGGATAGTTGCATCACAAATCTGTGCTAACGATCATGTTTACGTGCATATGTTAATCAGGTTACTGACTTCATCAAGTCTCTTTCACACATCTATATAAAGCCCCCAATATGCACAGAGGGCCAAACAGTGCCCCCCCCCTCCACCCCCATGACGCTAGGGGGCAACGATGCTCCTTTCAGCTCATTTAATTGTGAATTTTTTCAAAAAGGAAGTTTGCACTGAGGTTGGTTGTTGTAGCTACTTGTTTTCTGATCAAACTAGTATTTAAATGCATAACTTTACATCTCTTTACATCTTCAATGTGTGTGCGTGCGTGTGTGTGTGTGTGTGTGTGTGTGTGTGTGTGTGTGTGTGTGTGCGCGTGTGTGTGCGCGCGCCCGCGATGTGGCTCTTTGCAGTGACACAGTAAAAAAATTGTCTCTTAGTCTCTGACTGGTTGGCCACCCCTGCACTACTCTACTCTTGGGAAGCAAAAGACACAGTTGATGACTTTTACTAAAGGGTTGTTAACCATTACCTGTGTTACTTGTTTGTCATGACACTTAACAAAATACAGATGTATTATTTTGAGGAATGCAACAGCATGGTAAATATCGCGGTATATCCGTTTCAAATTCTTCCTCATAATAATGCCCTCTGAAGTCACGTGTAAGAAGCCGTCAGCCAGACTACGGGCTGAGAAGTGAAATACTGCCCTCTGTTGTCAACCTGGAAACCAAACTTCTGATTACCTCTAAGATGCTGAGTAACATTAAGTTGTGATTTAATGCTTTGTCGTTATGTCTTTGGTTTAAGGTGTTCCAGAATCCAAGCAAACAATCACACTTTACCACAGTCCATTCCCCTTCTTTTTTAATCAACACTGTGTTATGCATGTATAATGCCATGTAACTTATCGTCACCGCCACCCATAGTTAAAATGCAATACATACCAGGTTAAAAATAACATGACACATGGCCATTCTTCAGCCCTTAAGCCATGTTCGTACAAACACCAATTAGCCAGTGCAGTCGGGGTAGGATCAAGACTCCAATAACAAACTTTGCGAACACTCAAAGATTCGACCAATTCACGTACGTTTTGCTCAACTACGTACTTAAACCCACTTAAACGAAATGAAGAACCAAGCAGACGTGGGATTTCTTTCGAATCTGCCCCTATGCTCAATTGTTTTACTGAGGCCCTATTTAGGCTGCCAGACCCTCACCTCCCTGGAATGTGTTTTCCCTCAGACACCTCAGCATGAATCTAAAGATAAAAAGATGCGTTTTTTCAACTCCGGAACTGTTGCTATGGATGTCAACATTGAAAAATCCGGTTTCTTCCAAGGTAAGCGTACAGTACTTATAGTGACATTGAGTAACGCTAACCCAAACATCTGGGGCGCACTGGCTAAATCCATCCTGCTCTGGGTTTCAGGAGAGGGCATCAATGTTTTAGCCTCCATTCAGAACAACTCCACACGTGAAATCAAACCCAAGTATTGCATCTACAGAAAGCACAGCTTCTTTGCAAGTGGAAAGAGGAAACTTGATACGAAAGACCTCTTGAAGGAGGTGGGGGAGCCTATTCCTCCATCGGCCAGCCAAACAGTCAAAAGAGTCATCACAGTCCCCCATGACCTGGAACCTAGCATCCTCAACTGTAAAATCCTGAAAGCAGAGTACAGACTCAGGGTATGTTTTTTTTTTTTCTTCACCTAATCAAATGACCATTGAATTAAAGTTGCTCTAATTGCCATCTAGTCAACATATGCGCAAATTGTTGGAATTTAGCCACCTTAACTGTCATTCAGCATAAGTTGGTCGAGATCTGTCGGACTTGCCGTAGACTAGAGCAAGGATGTGAAACGCAAGGCCCAGGGGCCAGATCTGGCCCGCCACATCATTTTATGTGGCCCGTGAAAGCAAATCAAACATGTCAACTTCCATGATGCTTGCTAAAATCTCTACCAAAATTTAAAATTCTCATTTGTAATAAAAAAGAGCATTTTCTTGTAACCAAACCCCTCAGTAGAGTAACTTAAACAATAGTTGAATAAACCGTTATTATTGACTTTTTTTATTTGGCTTCAGTCGTAATGGCCCTCCAAGGGAAACGGTAACCAAAATGTGGCCCACGACAAAAATGACTTTGACACCCCTGCTCTAGAGGAATTAAAACTTTATTTTTGATGTCCAAGTTTCAGGGCAGATAGTTTATTGTCCGGTGAGCTGTTGCTCTTCCTGAAAAACCAAATGCATTTGTTGAAGGAGATTTGCAGGAGCCAATCCCAAAAGGGGATCTATCCCATTATGATAAAAAGTCTAATTTGTACAGTTTTGATTGGACCGCTACAACATGGCCCAACAGACTGATGGAAATGTTGCAGCCCATCTGGGCTGAATTCACATTTCTCACCGTGACCCTCTTTTCCACAGGTGTATTTGGATGTCAAGTTCGCATCAGACCCAGCAATCAAATTTCCCATAACCATACTTCCAGCTGCTCAAGCATCTGCTGTGGCAGCAAGCGCGCCGTCTACCGCTGCTGGATTTGGATTTGGATCATTTGGATACCAAAACCCACCAGCCAGGGACACTTTCAATCCTCCACCTCCTTATGAATTTTATAGCATGTACCCTTCTTTAAAATAATGGATTTTGATGGTCAATGACATTCTCAACACTTCGGCTACTTACTGCTCATTTCAAATGTTGACCCATTGTACTTACTTAATGTAAGATATTTTTTTAGATGTGTGAGAAAAGCTCCAGTGGTCTTGCATATATTCCTGAGATTGCTCTTTTTGCTCATCCAACAGAAATAACTGCAGCCGTTATCCCACACTGGTTTGTTGGTTGCTTGGTTGGTTGGTTGGATTGCCATACCTGAATTGAGTGTTCCAAACTAGTACGTGAATGTCTTTGTCGGAATACATCTCTCTTCTTTTCCCTCTCGGTTATGAGTTCAGACAGGTCCTTTCATGCATTCTTAAAAGGATTAGTGCTAGCATATATTTGGTCAGTTGGAGGTGTCTCTGAATGCAGAGGAAAAGGAAACACGTTGTTCCGTCTTTTGTCTTTGGGTCACAAGTTCAAAATGTGTTGAAAAGGAATGTTGCAATATGTTAAAGTTACTTTGCCTTTGGCCATTTTGCGTGATCCATCGGAAGTGTTACAGTCACATATAGAAAAATAGTAAAAATTTGTAAGTCAGAGACAAACGAGATACCGTAATCTTACATTGGGAAAAAGTAGCAAAGCGGGTCTGTTTGTTGGTAGACTGAAAAAAAATAGTCATGAATTAACTTTATGCAAACATATACAATGGTTGCACAAGATTAAAATGTGTTAAACTGGTATGTTGTTTTCAAGAAGAGGGGAAAATTGCATTTGTATACCACATTTTATTCACGTGCAACCAGTGTACATGATCAAATTAAATACTTGTTTTTCTAGTTTATCATGGCTTTGTTATCATAAATTTTCTTTTTTTTAAGTGCTAATCTCGAATCTTATTTTATCATTTTAGTACGGCTGTTTTAATCCTCTATAACGTAGCAAGAGCATATGTATTTTTGACTTTCAAAGTGTGTAAATATGTAAACGTTTCTCCTACTATATGGGTTTTTAACACGTACGATCCTGGAAACATTAATTGTCGGTCGCTATTAATCAGTGAAATGTAGTTGTCACTGAATGCTATCAAGCAAAGCATTTTTTTTTTATATTTGTGTTGTAAAATACACATTCGTGTATGTTTTCCATTCGTTTATGTAGACTCTGTCATTTTTGGAGGGGAATATTGGCTCCGGCAGTTAGTCTGAGTGTGGAGTGCTTTGGCGTGAGTTGTGGCTAACAGCAACTCTTATGAATGTGTGTTTATTGCTCCTTTTGTTTATTAAAAAACGACAGATTGCATCAGCGACTGCGTGCATCCTTCTTTCCGCATTGAAGGGCATTACAATACTGTATCTACCTGTTGTCGCAAAATAAAAAGTGACTGCACACTATTATTACTATTTTTAAATGTTGCGTGTGTGTGTTTTAAATTGAGTTCATTTATTTTTTTATGCAACCTGACTCATACCAATCCATTTACTTGAAAATGCGAAAAAACCTGACTGACCACAACATGTCATACACCTCGGCTGATGAAGTGATAAAAACACATAAGCACATAAATAGAGCGCGCACTCTGCGGATAAGGTAAAACTGCTGCTTGTTTGTCACTTTTGACGTATCTTTCCGCAAAATGACCATCATTCATTTCTCGATCGAATATGATGCAATCAATCGTCAAAACATTTTCACAAACGGTGATACCGTCAGAGGAAGAATCATTGTGGAGGTGTTAAAAGAAACTCGAATCAATTCGCTGACTTTGATAGCAAAAGCAAAAGGAGAAGCCCATTCGTCCAATGAAGACAGCAGTTTTAGTGTTTACGAGAAATACTACACCATCAGACGTCAACTCTTGGAAGAAGCAAGACAAGATGGTAATGTATGTTTTTTATTTACAGTATTTTTTTTCCGCCAAGAGGCATTTTCGTGGTGCAATGACTTCACAACCGTATATAACGTAAAACTTTAATCATAAAATGAACTGAATGTTCTACAGGTGAAACGTTTGACAGTACTAAAGTTATCACTCGAGGAAGACACATATTTCCTTTTTCCTTCAAGATTCCTGACAGGTATTTGATTATTCCCGTTTTGCCAGGTTAGGACTTGACTATTAATCATTTCTTCATTTTTATTCTCCTCCACAGAGAAATGCCATCGTCCTTCAAATGCGCTTTATGTAAAATTGTTCATAAGTTGAAGGCAGAGCTCAAACAACCACTGAAGCTGCGAAAAAAGGCTGAAACTCACTTCAAATTTGTCTCCAAACCAACTATGGATATTTCTGGACATATGGTAAGAAATGTTTTTTTTTTTTTTTGTAGATGCAATGAACGTTAACTATTTGTAAGAAACGTTGACTTGACTTAACAGGTTGTTGTTTTGTCAGGTGCCTTGGTACGGTTGCAGTCAGACAAACGTCAAATTCTTTGGCTCTGGAACAGTTACAATGGACGTTTACACTGACAGAATAGCATACAAGCAAGGTAATCACGTATATGGATTCATGTAAAATCATTTAACTCCAGCAACATTTCAGCTTTCGGTCACCATTATTCACATGTGGACCCAGAGGAGGGCGTTCCATCAGTCGTGACGGAAGGTCCATCACTGCATCACGGATGGATGCCCGTTTTGCTGACAGGAAACTTAAAATGCATCGTTACATTTTCTGGAATGAAACGATGCATTTTAAGGGCAGCAAAATATGTACCACACACACACATCATAATATTTGGTTGCAAATCCTTTACTTGCAATAACGGCATCCAATCTGTCAAACTGTCTGAAATACAAGAGCGTATGAGCAACAATTGTGGCTGTGTTTAAAGTCCCCCCCTAAAGTGAAAATAAGCACGTGTTCTAAATATCTCATATTTTTTTGCAACGTAACCTCAGTTTGAACCCATGTATCGGACAGTAGTAATTCAGTCACGGTTCATTTTTTTTTTACACTTGGCAGTGACGTGACATCATTTTTAGGAGGTGTCGCCATGAAATAAGCAAATCAAAAGCCTTGCCTCATATCCCCAAAATATTTCTATCTCCTCCCACATCACTCCTCTGTAGATATGAGATTATAGAAAGATAAGGCCGTACAAACTGGATCATCTTTACTTCTGTAAACACCTTGTTGTCAGTGACGTCGTCCCTTCTGCACATGCGGGTCACTTTGGTAACGCATTTGGTTCACACATCAGACATCAAGGTCGCATTCAATTTGTAATGTGGACGATAACACAGTAACATTGGGTTGAATTACTCCTGCGGGAAAAGTGATTTAAATTGAGTTCAATTAAATAAACCTTGCTACATACACAAAAACTATAGTAGCTACCTCGCTCCCTTATAAAACTACAACTTTTTATCCCTTTGGCGTGTATTTTAGCAATGTAAAATCAGATATGAAGGTTGAAGTTAGAATTCTAAGTTAACCATCCTACCCATCTTTTTAGCCTTTATGAACCTTTGCTTTTTCTCATCATAGGTGAAACACTCACAGTCCGGGCTGAAATTCAAAACCATTCAACACGTTCAGTGACGCCAACGTTAAAGTTCTATCTCAAGGAAAATTCCTTTGGAAACGGTCTGCAAAGTATCGTTGTAAAAAAGATCCTCCAGATGGAGTCCAAGGCTGTTGCGGCCAGTAGCAAAGACACGGTGATGAAGAAAATCCCCATCCCCAGACGACTACCACCCTCCATCTTGAACAGCTGCATTTTCAGGCTGGAATATGAGCTGAAGGTAAACGACACGAGGTCAATGTTAACATGGGGACACTGCTCTTATTTCCTCTTTCTGGTCAGTGGTTCAATTCTGTGTAATGAATAAAGAGATACTGCTGACAGTATCAGCCCTATCCAATGCTAGGCGAGATTTTATATGCCCCCCAATACCAATCTATGTATGATTTTGTTGTTGTTGTTCTTGTTGAAGATTTTTTAAAAAGCACAATTTTGACAGGTCTATGTGGATATCAAGTACACAGTAGATGATGGGGTCATAATTCCAATTGTTGTCCTTCCTGACCTACAACATCAGCCAAGTTCAGCGACATTTCCCGTTGAAGCGTCCGAGAACACCAACCATCCGACTTTGAGCAACATATCCCAACAACATGCAACACATCCACCTTTGGACTCTCCTCCTTCTTATGACACCTTGTTCCCTTCCTAGTGTGGTTCTGACATAAATGGAAGTCGACCGATTAAAAAAACAAAACGAAACACCAGAGAATAGCTGCAAGATGGCAGGAAATGATTATACCTTGACCATCTTGACTCACTAAATATGAGGGTTACTTGAGATTACTATCGATCTCAATGCTTGAGTATTTCCTTGTTTTGTGACAATTTTGGTTTGTGGTCTGCCATGGGAATTTTCCATTGCAATTAAAAAAAAGCTTATTTTAAAATTATTTTGAAAAAAAGGTTGCAGAAAAACACCCTGGACAAAGTTGACTTGAATACCACACCCAAATGCTTTATTGGATAATTGTTCCCCTACTTTTTCCAAATTATGGACAACAACCGACAACATTTTAAGTAAATGAGAAGAGGCTCATTTGCATTGAAGAAATGAAGTCTACCGTAATAGCCAATTGCCAAAAAATGAATTGTTATCGATCAAGTGATGGTTGTCGGGTGGGTCAGTGGTCACATTTCTCAACATCCCTGGCACAAACAAATCGGTTGGCTATGGAGCAAAGATCCGTGTCCCAGAGTAGATCTAGAAGTAAAACACAATGAACAACAATGAAAATCTAATTTCGGTGTCCAATTTCCCTCTGAATAATTCCAGCCATCAAACAAGTGCAATCGCATTCAAAGCACACGTTGCAACTGTTGATAAATTGTAAATAATAGGCAATTCACCATCATCTTCAATCTCAACGCAATTTCCGGGGTTGGTGTTAGTGTTGAAGGCAGTGAATTCGACGTCCGCGCCATCAGTCCAGAAGAAGAGATCATCCTAGAAGGCAAGGAACATGTTTCAAGGAGTTTTGCCGAAAGCGATTCGCGTGCCTCTTTGTTTGTCACAGGATAATGCATCATGATGTATTCTTTTCTTACTGTGCCGCTTTTTTTTTCATGCTAAAAGTAATCCTCAAACTCGCGCCACGGTCAAAACACCCCTGCTGCCTCTTCCTCCATTTGTTTACTCAGAAGTCACGTTTAAGCTTTTAAATTTTCCACCTGACGTGAGAATATCCATGAATGAGTCGGCTTGTGTGATGTGTTGCACACCAACACACGGTAACGTCCAAAACTGTTGTACCCCTGATTTTTTAATTTTTTTTTCTCATCACGTGTGGGGTCTTGTCAGAGTTTATCACCGGACAACAATTTAAAAATCTTGCCGTGTGAACCGGGCTTATAATAACTCTTCTTTGCGCTTTTCAAGATTTAGACCTCAGGTTTACAAAATGTTGCATGCAATAGATTTTACAGCTGCTGTTATCTCTTTTAAGAATCAAAAAAAATGTTTCACCCCTAAACCCCGGTGTAGTCCAATCCAGACGTCAGCAGAAGGGTCCGAAGTGCCATCCTGAATCACTTGGAGAACTACGGCGTATTCCAAAGCACTGCCGATGGAGACCAGATTCCCCCCAAGAATGTTGCAGACCCTCTAAAAGAAGAAACGACCCAATAGAAATGAGAAAACATTTCATTCAGCACAAGAAAAACTCCAAAGACCAAATAGAAATGTTTGCCCTGAGATTACAAAACATTGGATCCAGGATTTTATACCTCTGCGTCTGAAAACGCTCTTGGGTAATCTTGAAAGATGAAACAGCGGTCGTTCAATTGTGTCCAGCCTTTAGGACAGTGATTATCTGCAACACAATTGGTGTTGGGAAGCTATGATGATTGATTCTGATGGCAAATGCCTAAATGAATACATTGTTTTTTGTTGTTGTTTAAGTATCATTGAGAAACCAACCTTTCTTCTTATCACTCGTTCTACTCTGTGAAGAAAAAAAACGTGTTGTTCAAACCACAGGAGAAAATGAACACAAATGTAGGCAGCAAAAAAAAAAAAAATCCAAAGACATTTATTTTGACTTACAGACACCAGTCCGATTATCCCACAGAGGAGGATAAACCAACGAAGAACAAATGCCATCTGGACAATGATAGAAAATTACACTCGATATCTGTCGCAAAAAAAGGTATATAAGAAGGAGTTGGGTTTCAAATGCGGAGTGTCAAGGTGTGCAGTCTTACCTCTGCGCTCGCGAGACTCGATGCTGGGACACGACAAGGAATCCTTTTATATCAGCTTGCCACAAACAATGCTCGAAATAATTACATGTTTAAAAAATACAGGCATCCAAGTGCAGGGTTTTAAGAGAAGGGAGAGGCAACAAGTTATTGTTCTCACTCCAACCTACACATTATGCTTTTCATTGTGACAACTTCAGCACACACCCAACTACATCAGAAAGATTTTAATTTAAAAAAAAAAGGTTTTGGCACGCACCGGTTGATGAGAGAAATTTTCTGAACTAGGTTCATTGTTCCAGAAATGAACTAGTTCATAGTTCACTTCAGACCGCACAAACCACCCAGCCCTCAATAGTCACCTGCGCATTCCTCGAAAGGCTAGCGGGGGGCTTTCAATGTGACATTTCAACTTCACCGTTGATGTAATTTAAGTCCAAAATGTCCGATTATCATTATTATTTTTTTTCCCCCTTCGGAATCCTCACTGACCTTCTCATAAAATTCTTGATCAGAAAAGTTTTCTTTGGCCTTCTGAAAATCATGACAAAGCAGGGTTTTGATGCCCACCCGAAAGAAACTCTATCGATGAAGAAAACTGTCCGGCTCTTTTTCACCATGAGCTGTTGCCATGGTTACAAGGCACACTTATCGCCGTTTGTTAGCATAGCGTCGAGAGTTTCACAGTTATGGAACAACAGCTTGCAGTGACTGATTTGAACTGAATAAAACCGCATCTTCATAACTATCATTCTTCTGCCACCGTCATAGTGTTCGTGGCACAAAGGCCGCATTTATCCTTTGCCGTGTGTGTAATCAGGGTGGGGGAAGAGGTGCAAATTGCACCTGGCTGTCAAATGTTGTGATTGTGTTTGTGCTTCTGTGTCATTTGCGCAATATCCTTTGTGAACAGGATGTGAAGGAGGTGCAAACTGCGCTCGCAAATCAAGAGCAACGAAAGGTGCTATCAGGGGCTGCAGTTCATTTGTGGATTTGGCCCATTTGCGGATTTGGCCCACCATGTGCAGCATACATATGAAAATGCAAATAATGTGGTTTTATGAAAGTGGACTGAGCAAATGTTGTTCTTCCTCGTACAGATGAACACATTAAGCGGCAGTTAGTCATCAAAATGATTTAGGAGTCCTGAAATCTAGAGCACTGCTGAAGCATAATGTAAGTTCGGAAATGAAATACTGATCAAATGAGTCCTGTGCTAGACTACATATCCGCTACAATACTAAAAGTGAGGGCTGTGCACAAAATGGTGATAATTCAAATGGAGATTCGATTGTCCGTGGAAAAGCGAACATCGAATCCTAATTTTTTGCGCTTGGACCAGAGCGCATATTGTAAGATTGTTGTCACTTAAATGGCAAGCTCATTATGTGCGACAAACTGAAGTTATCCAATACGATAAAGCAAGATTTGAAAAACGATGTTACGACTGCCAGTATCACAAATGACCTGCCAAAGTTCATCTGCCTCCAGCATCCAACAGACAAAATCACTGCCAAAGAGTTGCAATGAAATGCACGCATGACCTGACAAAGTTCATCTGGCATAGTGAGGTCGCTGTCAAACATTTGCAGTCAGCTATGCTGCTTATGTGGCCGTACAAGATGAGTCCAAACACACCCATGACTAAACCTGCCAAGATGCCAACAACCCACAGGATTATCTTTGCAGCTGGTATAGCAATAGCAAGAGAAATGTGTTCTGACGACAAAGATGCTGTCACACCTTTATTACGGAAGCACTCTGTAAGATGACATGATTACCCAAACATCCAAACACTCCACGCACACACCCGCAGTTTGGTGATTGGGGAATAACATGTGACAAGTCATTGAGGTCTTTGGCACAACACTTAAAAAAAATATTTGGCCGCATGTCACATGCGCAGAACCTGCGTTTAAGTAAGTTCATTCTTGACGTCATTTGGCTGTTGCCGATGACTCGGGACTCTGGGCCAGCCTGAAATCATGACGGTAGTTCACTGGTGGACTCGCCGGACAGACGATGCACACTTTTCTAAAATTTGACCACTTGTTTGTTTCTTTCATACTTCGAGAGTCATTCAAAAAATAAGATGAATTTTTCGGTATAAGGTCTTCTCAGACAGACAGAAGCTTTTGGGTTTTATTTTCTTTGTACAAGCTTCCATATTCCCTCACCATAAAAATCTTGAGACTGATGTCTCTGCCAGTCGCTCACAACACTTTTGACTTCATCTTCACTTTTGAATTTTGTGCCAACTACCGTAAACTGCTGAGGCAGGTCAAGACAGTCGTAAAGAACAAACGCAGGGGTCATCGGTCAGAAGGAGTCATCGTGCATGATAACGCAAGGGCTCACACAGCAGCTCAAACGGTGCAGACCATCAACGAGCTAGGCTTGGAACTGCTCCCTCATCCCCCTTCCAGCCCAAATTTCAGTTTTCAAAAGCCAAGCTGGTGATTTTTAGGACGGCAGAAATTTGTCACGAATCAATTTTGGAGCCGACAACATCAATCACTTGTCTTAAAATAACACCCATTAATAGGGAAAATGTCACTTTTCCGAATTTGTTGTGTCTTTGTTGTTTATGCTCCTTGGCTTGTGGCCCTCCATGTTGCTGCTGCATTTTTCCTTAGTGTGTTCTCAATCCGGTTATGAGAGACAAGAAAAACAGGTTCTGGATCTGTATCCTCCCCACCGCCTGTTCGTCACCGCTCTGTCACCTGAGCCAGACGCTTTATTTCTGCTTGGACTGACCAGAGGCTCTCCTAATTCTTGCTCGTATTTTGTTTGCTCATCTTTTCATTTGTACTTATTTCTGGAAAATGACCATTAAAAATTTCCAAATTGAATACGACTCCATCAATAGCCAAAACATCTTCACCAACGGAGATACAATCAATGGAAGGATCGTCGTGGAAGTCTCGAAAGAAACGTCAGTCCAATCGCTCACCTTTATAGGAAAAGGAAGTGCAAAGGTTTGCTGGCACGAGTATTACGGGCAACATAGCAGTGGCTACTACTGGTCCGATGAGAAATATTATGAAATCAAGCAACGTATCTTGCGAGCCGGTAATGCATGCTTTATTCAATATTTTGGTCCACAATGTTGGTCACGATCTTTTCTTAAAAGCACAAATTACCGGACATATCTCATTCCTCCAGGAACTGATTTTATTCCCAAAGGAAGACATGTGTTCCCCTTTTCCTTCAAGGTCCCTAACAGGTACTTTATACCAGACTGTGCTGGGGTTATTTTCATGCCTGTTGTTGCTTGCCTCGTTTTCTTTCAAGCCAGTTAAACTGACATATAATTGTACTTGGCAGGAAAATGCCGTCCTCCTTCAAGTCATCCGTCGGTAAAATTGTTCATAAGCTGAAAGCGGAGCTTAAACAATCAATGAAGTTGACAAAAAAAGCAAAAGCCCACTTCACATTTGTCTCTAAAGCAGACATGACCATACCAGGACTCATGGTGAGACGTTTGCAACAGTAATTGATCCCAGTTTGAACTTTTGAAAGGATTTGTATGTAGTCTGTCATTAATTCAAGAAATGGATCTGTTCTTTCTTTCAGGAACCTCAGCATGATTGCACGGATAAAAAAATCACCGTCTTTGGTTCTGGGATCATTGCAATGGATGTTCACACACAAAGGATGGGATACCACCCAGGTAAACTTACATACATACCGTATTTTCCCCACTATAAGGCGTACCTAAAAGCCTACCATTTTCTTAAAAGCTCACAGCGCGCCTTAAAATCCGATGCGCCTTGTGTATGGTCATTATGGTAACATTTAGACCCCAAAATGGCTCCTTGCTCGAGACATGCTGACAACGCAGAGTTCAAACTTAAGACGATCGGTTACGCAGTTGAACACGGAAATAGAGCAGCGGCAAGAGAGTTCAACGTTAACGAGTCAATGTTATAACTTGCTGTTGAGTGAACTGTGTCGCTGCTTGATTAAATACGTTTTACTGACATCTGATCATTCTGTTGGCGTTTCGTTGAATGTAACTCCATCTAGTGGATGCATTGTAGATTGCGTCTTATAATGCGGTGCACCCAATGTATGAGAAAAAATTATTTGACAACTGTCATCCGTGTACTTGCCCACTGGTGCAACGACACACGTGATTTTTGTCTTCCCATGCAGGTGAGGATCTCCAAGTCAAAGTTGAAATTCATAACCTATCATCCCGTGACGTGAAGCCCAAATTTGTATTGTACGAAAAGCAGAGTTTCTTTGCTCAAGGAAACAGGAACGTTTGCACACAGAACGTCCTCAAGGAGACACTTGAGAGTATTGCTCCCCATAGTAAACGGAGAGTGAAGAAGGTGATCACAATCCCCAGAAGTTTGCCTCCTTCCATTTTGAACTCCTCAATCATCCAGCTGGAATACAGACTGAAGGTAGGCTGAAGGTTCTGTTGCACTTTTATCAAGGTTAATCCATTTGATACAATAACTGGTTATGGTAATAATACCACAAACATAACAAAAGAGTAACATAAAGCTTTAAAATGATGTCAGAAACTAACATATTACCATTTTCGCAGATCTTTCTGGGTGTCAAATATGCAATAAACCCAGAAATCAAACTTCCAATCGTTGTCCTACCTGCCTTTGAAGTTCCTGCAGGACAACAACCTCCGGATCCTGCTGCTGCCTATGGATTTGAGCAATTTGGGAGATCACGCAAACAGAGCTGGAGCAAAGCATCTCAGTCTTCGGATCTCCCTCCACCATACGGAGCACACGCCGAGTATCCCACCTTGAGTGATTATAAATATCGAAGGTGACCATCAATTGCTGAAAGAAATTATCACCCGTTTCCTCCCACATTCCAAAAACATGCATGGCGGGTTAATGGAACACTCTAATAAGCTGTCCACTGTAGTAAGCGCTGTCCCTAAAACTCACGCCCGCGACCCTCGTGAGGATAAGCGGTTCAGATAATGGATGGATGGATGGAATTACGCATCCATCAATGAGGTGTGTATGCATTGGTAATGGCACAGGTCCTTACGTAAGTGGCTTTTTGTGTTGCAATATTCACATATTGAAAAAAATAATTCGGACTACACACAGACACACACACACATAAGTCCAATGCATTTCTTCAATACATTTAGACAATGTGTCAAAACGGTACTTTTATTTTGATAAACAATACAGGATCCAATTAATTTTTTGATCAAACTGATGTCTGACTAACTGACTGCTTCATCAACATCAAGTATTAACTTTGAGGACATAGCCTAGGGCAGGGGTCGGCAACCTTTTTGAAAAAGCTCTAGGGAGCCACTGGGGGGCGCTAAAGAGCCGCATGCGGCTCGAGAGCCGTGTGTTGCTGACCCCCGGCCTAGGGGCTTGGGCAAGTGAGGATAACGTTGCATATATCTTTTTTGTATCTGTGAAAAAAACATCTGTTGCATTTATAAAAATCAATGAGCTGCTACAAAGAACAAACAATTGTATTTTATTTTTTGTAACAACTTTTGAACAACTTTTGAACACTGCTTGTTTGAAGTTTATTTTCAAATAAAACAGTCAATGTCTATTTGAGTTCTTACAAAAGAGCCACCTGCAGTGAACCAAACTTGTCCATCTGTTTCTTTCCTCTGTCGTGATTTCATCTCGTGTACTCTCAGTGGCGTGCAAAGGTGTGTCGGTGTGCTTGTGGTCGGACTAGATTGGAAGAGGCTCTGAGGAAAAGTGTTGCTGCATCTGTTAGCTAGCTAAAGTGGCTCTTTCATGGTGACCAAATGTTATAATGAATGACTGTATTTTGACTTGTATGCTTCATACAGTATGACTGACTTTGGAAGAGAAATCGGAATTTAAATGGTCCAATGGTGTGTTAGCGTTTTCTGGGGAGCACACTTGGATGAGGTACCGGTGCTCCAGTGTAGTTGCATATATGAACATCTTCAACTTATATTTGCACTTTGGGGTTAAGACTTTGCCTTGTAAAAATAAAATAAATGTCCACATAAATTATATTTTTAGTTCTCTGAAAGTCCATCGTCATTAAATCAGTCATGGCAATTTCCATTTCAAACGAGCCTCTGTGTAACTGATGCTCTATGCTAAACGACAAACTCAAATTACTTTGTGAGCTCAACAGAACCAAAAAAAAATAAAAAATTATCCTGAGTAGCTTCATGCTGACAAACGTGGAATTACTTGAAGGAGGACAGTATCTAGAACTACAGTCCACTTTTTCTTTTCAACATAACCAAAGTAATTTTTACAGGCAATGTGTGCATCCCATAAGCCTGTTTTTTTTTTGTTTGTTTGTTTTTTATTTGACGAAGGTACAGTAGTTAATGTATGATATACAACCTATGCCTTTGTTAACAAAATAAATCTTTGAATCGGTGTTAGCCACTGAGCGGACCTAATAATAATAATAATAATAATAATAATAATAATAATAATAATAATAATAAATTAGTGTTATTGTTATTTTAATAATCATAATAAACATTCTCAAATGCATGGGAGAGACGGGACGTGCAGAAGCGAGCAAGCAAGCAGCCTGTGCTGAGTTTGTGCAATCCCTCGCAAAAGAAGCTAAAAGAGCACAGTGCACCTCTGTCATCTATTGGTCAAATGACTGAACTACAACAGAGGAGGCAATTGGCAAGTGCCCGTCTCTTTTCACATTTCAATAGAGGGCTCCGTCCTTTTAGCAATTACCCACAATGCACTACCGGCGGCCATATTGGAGAGCTGTTATAAACAAGCCATCACGTGTATGGCTTGTTTATAACAGCCCTCCAAGATGGCCGCCGGTAGTGCATTGTGGGTAATTGCTAAAAGGACGGAGCCCTCTATAATGACATTCATGTTATGCAGTCTAATTTTACATAGTCAAAGTTCTGTCTTTAGTATTTGTGGATTTCATATTCAGTTTTGCCGATCGCAAAATAAACACTGTGAAGCCTGAGGTGAGGCTGCGTGTGAGAGCACACAAGCTCACGTTAGTAATCTCTCCGAAGACACCGAACTAGCTTCTGTTGATACTTTGACTTCATAAGACTATTTAGCTCTCAAACATTGGAGAATAAATGCAAACTAAAAGCACTTTTTACAGTAAATGAACATATTGTTGTTCAGAGTGAGCGGCATAAGGTTTATGAATCAATAAATGGTGTCCGAGCAGAAGGCCACGGTAAGAGAAGGATTTTGTGAATCAGGAACCTCAGCATGATCACACCCAATAAAAGTCAAATACTTTGGCTCTGGAATAGTAGGGATTAAGTTATGCATGTCTGGGAGTGCCACCATGTTTTGTTTTGGTTTTTTTTGTTTGTTTTGTGTTGCTTTGTTTTCCAGGGGGGCAGACAAGAAAAACAGGTTTTCTCTAGATCTGACCACCTCAAAAAAAATCAACAAGTATTTTAAAAAAGTGAATTGTGAAAAAATCATTTTTCTTTTTTTTTTTTTTATTACTGTACTTTAATTAATTGACCCTTGAGGTGATCCACATGCTTCAACGATTTTTAGAGTAGAAGAAACATGACTTGCTTAGTTTCAACAACAAGCCTTGCCATTATGTGTTCTTATTCTGATTGTGACAGACAAGAAAAACAGGTTTTCTATGCCTGACGCCCGCACCGTCACCTGTTCTTAGGAATAGTCGGCTCAACCGTACAGTTTGTTTCTGCTTAGATTACCAGAGACGTCTGTCATCTGTGCTTGTATTCTTTTTATTTTAATTTATTTTTCTTTTGTAATGTTATCATTTGTATTTATTCCTGGAAAATGACGATCAAAAATTTCTCAATTGAATATGACGCCATCAACAGCCAAAACATCTTCACAAACGGAGACACAATCAATGGAAGGATCGTCATGGAGGTCTCAAAAGAAACACCGATCCAATCGCTAACCTTTATCGGAAAAGGGAGCGCAAAGGTTCGCTGGGTTGAACATCACGGGAAACGCAATCGTTACTACTGGTCTGATGAGAAATATTATGACATCAAACAACATATCTTGAGAGCGGGTAATGTATCACTTTATCCATTATTTTAGGAGACAATGTTAGTGATGAGCCTTGTAATGAATGCACACGTTATCTGTATGCTTCACTCCTCCAGGTACTGACTTCATTGCCCAAGGAAGACATGTGTTCCCCTTTTCCTTCAAAGTCCCTAACGGGTAAAATAATGTGGTTAGTCCTCTGATTATTATTCTTTAGCTTATATGCTTTCAGGCCAACTAATTTACATGTAATTGTACTGCAGTAAAATGCCATCGTCGTTCAAGACCTCGACTGGTAGAATCGTTCATAAACTTAAAGCGGAGCTTAAACAATCAATGAAGTTGACAAAAACAGCAAAGGCCCACTTCACATTTGTCTCCAAAGCAGATATGGATATAGCTGGACTTATGGTGAGAAATATGGAACAAATTCATTGCAGTTTAAAACTGTTGTGTTTGTGCATGTTGAAAAAATGGATCTTGTTGTTTCTTTCAGGAACCTCAGCATGATTGCACTGATAAAAAACTCGCAGTGTTTGGTTCTGGAACCATTGCAATGGATGTTTACACCAAGAAAATGGGATACCAACCAGGTAAGCATCTATTTTTAATACTGTATACAGATTATATTTTTACACTATTGGTGAAACTTGGGGCGCAACAGACATGCTTATAATTCCAATAAACGATTGTCTACATCTGCCAAAGTAAGCCAGAGACATTTGTCCCGTTCTACCTACCGCATTCGTGTCAAATTCTACACCGGAAATGAACTACCGTATTTTCTGAGCCATTAAGCGCTTTGGATTATAAAGCACACCTTCAATGAATGGCCTATTTTAAAACTGTTTTCATATGTAGGGCGCACTGCATTATGAGGCGCATGGAATCAAAGCTACAATAGTGGCTGTGGTTATGCTGCGCAGCCACTAGATGGTGCTACGCGAAAGGGAATACAATAGAATACAATAGTGCTTTATCAATATGGAGCCTTTACACCGCTGCAGCCTGCAGGGGTAACATTGAGAACTGGTCACAAACACGGACATGAAACATACAAATACAAATGGCATTTCAACACAATAAATGAAAGACAAAAGTTATGAAGACAATTGATTCAACAAAAAGGCACACAAACTTTGGGCTATCATTAGAAGTCTCGCTTGTCTCCTTCTTCCGTCGTTTAGTCAGTACTTAACTATGCTTTTGGTATTATCTTCCTTTCATAATGGCCACTCAGAGCTCAGAAAGTAGTTGTCTGTTTTAGTGTGTGTTGGTGAATGCACCTGTCCTGCTAATAATCACCATTAGATGGCATTGGAACACGTACAGGGAAACGACTCACTGAGGAATAAAGAGAGTTACAGTCTATTTATATTACTCGCATCGGATTGTAGGGCGCACTGTTGGCTTTTGAGAAAATTGAATGCTTTCCTTTGCACCTTATAGTGCGCCAATACAGTGAAACTCCTCTACAACGAAACCTTCATGGGCGAAAAATACCCCCTAGTGTGAAAAAATCTTCATGCGTTAAAACCATTCCCACTTTTCTGCCCCCCCTACAACGAAAAATCCCCCTGTTGCGTTATACGAAATATTTTTCTCTGCCCTTGCCTCCCAACGAGATTCACTACAAGGAAAACAAGCCTTCCGCAAAAGTCTAATCCAACCTCAGCCTACAGCGACTCCTACTGCTTAGCTTGGAAACGGCAACACACAAACACCACAGTGGCTTACACATGCACAGTAGTACAGGAAGTATTTGTTATTGTTAGTTTCAGACGCAGAACGAACGTTGCATTGCTAAAATGGCTACAAAAACAGACCTTTGCAGACCAAGGAGTGAAGAAAAGAAAAGCTTTAATGCTTGAAGAGAGGATAAAAGTAATAAAAATGAAAGCTGGAGGAAGCAAAGTAAAAGTCATTATGCAAGAAATTTATGTAAGTGAAAGTGAATGCTGATTGTAAATTTTGCAATTTCTTTCCCATTTTTTTCTTTTTACGCTGGCTATATGAAGTGTCAAATACTGTGTGTGTATGCTCATACTTATGCACTATTGGAATAAAAATAAAGAGTACATATGCAAGTTGACAGTTGCCATCCATTTACTTCCCCAGTGATGCAACAACACATGTGATTTTGTGTTCCCTCGCAGGTGAAACTCTGCAAGTCAAAGTTGAAATTCATAACCATTCATCCCGTGACTTAAAGCCCAAATTTGAATTGTACGAAAAGCAAAGTTTCTTTGCTCAAGGTCACAGAAGAGTTCACACACAGGTTATTGTGAAGGATAAACTTGAGAGTATTAATGCCCGTAGCAAAGAGATAATGGAGAAGATGATCACACTCCCCAGGAATGTGCCTCCCTCCATTCTGAACTCCTCCATCATCAAGCTGGAATACAGGCTGAAGGTAAGCCAAAAATTCTCTCGCACCTTTTGAGGTTCATTCCATTTGATACAGCCACTGCTAATGAAAAGAGTGGCAGAGAAAGAAACAAAAAAAGTAGCATGAGGACTAAAACCGATTTCAGAAACTAACCAACAATTTTCACAGATCTATCTGGATGTCAAATATGCAACAGACCCGGAAATCAAACTTCCAATAGTTGTCCTACCTGCCTTTGAGACTCCAGCAAGAAATCAACATCCAGGTGCTGCTGCCTATGGATTTGAGGATTTCGGGGGTTTAAACCAACAGAGCTGGAACCAAGCACCCCAACCTTCGGATCTCCCTCCACCATATGGAGCACACACTGTGTATCCCCCCTTGAGTAATTCTGACAAATATGGAAGTTTTCTATAAATCACAGAAAGAAATAATATCCTGTAGAGAGATGGAAATAAATCAAACATCTCAAATAAAATGGAAAAAAACCCGCATAAATGTTTTTGTTGTTGTTCAAAAATTGCCATCAAACTAATTCCAGGTGATTATAATGCTATATCTGTACTAAGTTTTGATTTATTTTTATTTTTTACATTTTTATGTCATGATTGTAAGTTGCTACCTCCCCCAGGTCATTACCGTATATTTCTACATTTGGTTTTGCATGTTTTATCCGCTTTTCGGAAATATGCTATATGACAGAATGACTGATCCATCAATGGTGCATGTGAAACCAGCAGTTCTTATGTAAGATCCTTTTACTGTCGCGGGATCCAAACAAAATCAAAACAAGAATAATAAATAGAACCGCACACTCAATAAATCCAATCCATTTCTTCATCAGGAAATTCAAAGGAGCACACGGCTCAAAAATTAATTTTCCAGCATTCGATGAGTCAATTAAGAATGAAAGTGCAAATACCAATGGCATCTGATTCCGAAAAAAGCTTTAAGACAATGAATGGATGGATGGATAATGACATGACCTGTACGCTGCCGTATTGGACATTGTTCACCGGTTCACATAATCTGGGGGCATGTTCCATGCTGTAACCTGCTTCTGTTCATTTGGACTTGTTTCCTGCTCTATTATGCTCTAAAAATGCAGGATGGTGTTGTCAAGTGTTGCCATAATTCTCACCAAAATTTATGTGGCTTTTGTGTGGATGTTTAGGCATGTGTTAAGCATAGTCTGAAAATATCAGAACAAACTTTGTTTTTATTCTATTTACGTCATAAGAATGAGTTTCCACCGCCTACGGCCCAAAGACGGCTGGGTTAGACTCCACCATACCGGCGATTCTTGTGAGGATAAGCGGATCGGAAATTTTTTTGCATGATGTGGCCATGGTGATTTTATTGGGAGACAATTTTCAGGACAAGTTGTAAAAGTGGGGGGAGACTACTTGATTGACTTGACACATCAGCCAAACAGTGGAGGAAGGAGGCAAGTATTGTAATATGGTTTGGTTTGTTACATTCTGTTGTCTCCTCGTGGCCAAAAATGGTGACCGATTGTCACCAAAATTCTCATGCACATTCCGACTCAACTTCAACCTGCGAAAATAGAAAAGTAATCTGCGCAGTATTTGTTATTTTGTTGACATTGAATGTGAGCTCCTATGAGGAAAAACCACTATTGCGTCCACAAAACCAAAAATATACTTTTTTTTCCCCCACAAAAGTTAGGGCTTTGAAACAACAACATTGAAACAGCCAGGAACGACCCACCCTGAGCGCAGTATTTCCCAAACAAAGCCAAATTTTAAAGCTCAATGCATCCACTCACCAGCACTGATTTCTAATTTGACAAAAGTTGGTTGGTATACGATCGAAGGCCAAGCCTCTGTTCACTTTGCAACTTGACTGGGAGCAATTTAACCACTGACAGTGCATGCCTATTGTTATCCGACAATTATCAGTCAACAAGGCATCGCAATCAAAAGTAACTATCAAATCACATTGGAATGATGCGCACGCGAAAAAATGACATAACCCATGCAAACACACCCCACGCTAACAGGAACAAGATTTAACCAGGTTTGAACCATAAAGATTGTCATTAAGACAGCGCACCGCTGCTGTGCACGTACTTGGCCCAACTACCGTGTTTTTGCAGGATTCTAGTTTATTTTTTATTTGTTTTGAAAATGACCATCAAAACATTTTTAATTGAACATGATGAAGTAGATGGGAAAACTCATTTTACAAATGGAGATACAATCCAAGGAAGAGTCATTGTGGAAATTTTGAAGGAAGCGGAAATCAAATCACTAACATTAATTGTGGAAGGATACGAAAAATTTCACCTGACAACTGTTTTCTTATCAAGGCATGGATCTGTTACAAATTCCTACCCATCTGTGGAGCATTTCTATAAGGTGAAACAAGATCTCTTGAAAACAGGTAAATATTCTGTTAACATTTTTCCTACAGCAGTAACTATGGCGTAATTAAGCAATGGACTAACTCATATTTTTGTCTTTGGTAAAAACATTTTTCAGGGCCCCAAATACTTGGCGAAGGAAGACACATGTTTCCTTTTTCCTTCACGATTCCTGACAAGTATTTGGCACCATTGTCACAGATCTTCATATTTTTCCCTTTCAGCTCCAATCCAGTGTTGTTGTTGTTGTTGTTGTTTTTTAATGTATTGAGTGGGGTTTATTTTGTTTGTTTGTTTTTGACAGAGAAATGACATCTTCCTCAAATTGGGCTCGTCATAAGTTAAAAGCAAAGCTCAAACAACCTAAGAAGAGGGACAAAAAGGTTAAAACCAAATTCATATTTGAGCAAAAGGAAGACACGGATGACTCTCAACACATGGTGACACTTTTCACTTTGTTTGTATACATCAATAAATGGCAGAAAACCAAAGTTATTGAAAAAAAATCTAATTTGTGTTTCAGGAACCTCAGCATGTTTGCATCGAGCATAATTTCAAACACTTTGGCTCTGGAACAGTAATAATGAATGTTTACACTGAACAAATGGCCTACAAACCAAGTAATGTTATTTTAAGCACTATACACATAAAAACATGCACCCATAAATAAGTTAACAAATGAATTCGCACTGGAACAGATAATTGAAGAATCCAGTGCCCTTCTGCTGTTTGACCCATGACATCATACTCACTTTCTCACCCCACAGATGAAACTCTGAATATCAAAGTTGATATCAACAACCAGTCAACTGTTTCAGTGAGACCCACATTCACAATCTACAGGAAGCAAACGACACTGCTTCCGGGTCAGAGGATAATCACAACTTCGGAGGTACTTCAAAGTATAAACAAGGCTGACATCATTGCTGCAGACAGCCAAGTGACTATTAACAAGAAGATCCCCTTGGAAAAACTATTTGGTCCCATCTTCGGTGCAGCCAAGAATGAGTATCTACTGAAGGTAAACCACTTTCTTGCCACTATTTTCACCGAGGGACACATCAGCATAATAGTTGTCCTCAAAAGGCCAGATGCAACTCTAAGAACATGTAAATGTAACAATCTAACGATTAAATAACTCTGCACATATTACTCATGTTACAAATATTAGATACTGTATGCATTTGCATATACAGTCAAACCTCGGTTTTCGAACGTCCCTGTTCTCGACCAAATTGGTTTTCGACCAAAAATTTCGACTTTTTTATGCCTCGTATTTTGACCGAAAATCATTTCTCGACCAAACTGAGCGCACTTGAATGCGCCACTTGACTCCTCCCGCTTTCCTTACACGATGAAGTGACGCTTCCTCGAGTAGCGTTCTATTGTGAGCAGACGTCTTCAATAAAGATTTTTTTTTAAAGAGCGTGGTTTTGGTTTTCGAACAAATCGGTTTTCGAACAGCCTTCTGGAACGGATTATGATCAAAAACCGAGGTATGACTGTACAGACGCTCCCCAGCTAACGAACGAGTTACGTTCCGAAGGATTGTTCGTTGACTGAATTCGTACGTAAGTTGCTTCAGTGCTATATTTTGTATGGAATGTATGTTTAACACTTATATAAGTATGTTTAAGGTTTATATAAGTATAATAAAATGAAGTTTAACTTACTTTTGGAAGATGTACTCGAAGGCTTAAGGAGATGATGGAGGGGGAGAGAGTTTCGTCTCGAACTTCTTCATGGGGACAGGCGTTTCCTCCTCCTCCTCCTCCTCTCACAGCGCCTCACGTCGTCGGTATTAGCGGTGGAAAGAAGTACTACAGTACTCGGAAAAAGGCGCGCAATACAAAATCTAACTGACAGCATCTCTGTCCGAGAACATTTTTCGACATACCTGTACCCGCAAAAATGTTCATATGTACCGTTGTTCGCAATACGAAAGTTCGTAAAGCGGGGAGCGCCTGTATATGGGAAAAAAAGTTTGCTTGTTGCTTTGTGATTATTACATGAATCCTTTTAATTTGTGAGGTTAAGAAGCTGACATTACTCCACCAATCAATATTCTAACTATCCAAGACTCATCAGATACCGGGTCTGACATTATCCTAAATTTGTTGGAAACTTTTTTCCCCACTGTTGAATGGGGTAGAACAGCGACGGACTGGAACCAAAATTTGTCAGGGGAATATTCTTCGACGGCCGGGGAAATGGGGAGGGTCATACAGCGGGCATTATACTCCAAAAGCAAGTTGGCAACAAGGCACAGAGGAGCAGCCGTCACCCGGTTTGACCAGCCCAGAAATTAGACCAGCCATTGGGGAAAATCAACATTTTCCCGAATTTCCTGATGGCTAGCATGTGGAGTTTTTTTTTTTTCTCTCGGCTATTTTGCTGGACTACTGCAGGTAGAACAGGGCACTTGCACCGTTGTGGGAGGGAACACAGCTAACTCTCAGCCTGGGGAAGCAGCTCCCCTTATTCTTTTTAAATTCAGTGCATAGAGAGTCACGCGGTCTTTATGGCATGTAGATGCAAGAGCTCAGCACACGCAAAGTACATTTAAAAGAACTGAATGATCTCCACCTGCGGATGATGTCAAGTTGGCTGCTGTGGCTGAACATTTGGAGACGGTCGATCAGTGTCTAACAAGCCACGCCCCCAACACCACCACCACCCATAGTTGTGTCGCGTGGTCAGGCAGGTGCTGTTAAAAAATCTGTTTGAAATGATCATGATTATAATTCCTTCAATGAATTGATTTCTACAATGATTCGGAGGGATTGTACCACTCTGTTGTCATATTTATGAAAGAAATACGATGATACAACTCACTCGCTTAAAACACCAAAATGTATTTTCAGCCTGCGTGGCGAAGCTTGTCAAGAAGTGACATCACCCTGATGTGTTCTGCTTTACGGTGTCCACGTGTAACATGAAAAGTCACCAACTTAGAAAGATGCGCTTTGGAACCAAAACATGCTGTCATTTGATTTCACGTGACTTGGTACTTTGCCGTACTGACCCAAATTGATCGGTACTAAAAAAAAAAAAAAAAAAAAAAAAGGACCAACTTAAGTCCTCGTCCCTCCTCCTGCCTCACCCGTCCGTCCCTTTTCTGCATATGCACATTGCTGTGCTCTAATCCTCATTGGGCAATATCCCATCCCTTCAGGACCCAACGCTATATCACTGCACCTTTGTCAATTTGGCATAAACGCATAAGAAAATTTTTAAGAAATATATTTCAAATATTTTAATATACATGACTATATGTTGTTTGATGTGATCGCTGATTTTTTTTTTTTGTCTTTATTGCAGGTCTGTTTGAAACCGACTCGTAAGTTCGCAGAACAGAGAATACTTGTCTTCCGTGACCATTCTCTGCTTGTCACACAACAATTTGCACACCTGGCGTTAATGAGTCACGGATTGTCCCATCATCCTGCGTATTTCTAAGACACGGGTCTGTCCTCTGTGGTTTTGAAAAATGGTGGTGTTCTTTTTTTGTTTGTGTGGTGTTACAAAACTTGCCCAAATTAACAATCGCAGACATTCTTCACCAGCATCACGGCACTGCACAGCAGCTGCAGAAAGGAAGGCTTGTCAAAAGACAGTCGAAGCTGTTCACAAGATTGTGGGGAACAGCCTCCCCACAATCACAGACCGGATCTTCTCACTGATAGATCGAGTCAAATGACCTCATCATATCCTCAAATCTTTATCATCTAAATATAGAAGTATATATAGTTTTTTTTTTTTTTGTTTACGCATCAAATTTGTAAATGTATTTTTATCATTTTAATCTCTTGTTTTCATTCACTGAGGCATCCAGGAAAACAGGATCTGGGACAGAGCAATAGATTTAATCATAAGGGAGTTAAAACATTGCTGGGAAATCCAAAGTACGCTTAAAGGTTGTTTCATTTTGAATGACGATGTGCGCACTGTGACACAACAATGTTTACACTGTGTTGCTTTTCACCAGAACTTTCTGGGGTTTTAATGAATCATATTTAGCTCGTGATGGTAAACTGAAGCATCATGAAGCAATGACGCTTTCCATCCAACTGGTTCGCTCCTGGGCCGAATCATCATGAGGCTTTATTTGTTCTATTGCGCCATCATGTGGAAAATAAATGTCATGACAGACAGAGTGATTAAAATGATACCGTGGATTTCATGTGAATGAATGTGCGTGTGTTACTCGCAAGAATGATTGCTTTATTTTAAACATTGACATATAACCAAAGAACAAGACACACACCTTTCATTCATTTTTATTGAGGAAAACTAGCATTTCCATGTTTTTTGCTTCAAACGTTTTTTTTGTTTTTTTTTTTAGATAGGATTTCTCCTGCTTTTGATAATTGTCTTTCACAAGGGATGGGGCAGGGTACAGAGAAAGGTTTTTGCTAGTTTGTAGAGGTTTGGGAAGACATGTTTGTGCAGTTCCCAGCTATGCTGTTTTTTTCATTGCATGTTAAAATGGCTTACCTGGGCGTGGTTCTATTTGAGTTGTCTCCTAATTTTCATGCAGGGCCCTATAATGTCTCAACATAGATGAAGTGTTCTCTTGGTACCCAAGTTCTTTCGAACAAAGTTTACACTTCACCTTTTGAAATATCAGCAAGTAGAACAAAGACATTAAAACTAGGGATACATTGTGTTGTCACAATAATTTACAATATATATTCACACTGGTTATTACAATTTGTACCTTTTTAGGAGAAATCTGCTCAAAATTATCCCAGACAGGAGATGTTCTCTTGCTTTTTCGTTGTGGACGGTGGGGTGCGCAAAACGAATCCGATTGAATTGAGGTTTGAAGATGCGAGTTGGGTGTGTCAGTGTCACCTGTCAGCTCATTGTCGTCTCGGTGCGCCGTTTTATTTCGAATCACCTGCGACACTATGTGTTGGCGATGACGTAGGAAGCCCGTCTCGCGAGGCTTCGGACGTAGCAAGGTGTGTTCCGAGGCGTCGGCCGTGGCCACAAGCGTAATCAACACACGCCTCGACGCGCGCTTCGTAGATTTTTTTTCCGGTTTACTCGGCACACGCATCGGCGCCTCGGCACATTGAGCTGATTATTCCAACCTATGATACAACCAGAAAAGAGTCAACCATATTATTCACAAAGGATATGACGATATGCGAAAGGAGCCCATGATTATGATTATTGTTGTTGTTTTACTGTAATTATTGTTGGACGTGATAATAGTCAAGTGAATTTTGAACACTTGTGTTGTGATTAAACTTTACTAACATAACAATTTGAATAAAGAATATATGATGATGACAATTTAACCGTGGAAATGATTATATCTATTTCCATTATGTAATGCGTAGTTAGTTTTTTTGTTTTTTTTTTTTAATCCAAATTTACACAGCCAAATGGATTCTGTTTGGTTTTGTAAATTTATGTTTTGAGTGCAGTCATTATTGGTCAAGGTGAAGTGAAATCTCAGTTGAAATCATGACAAGAAGACATACTGTACTTTCATTTGCATCATATAAATCCTGAGATTTAAAAAAAAAAGAAAAGGAATCATATTGATTGCATCTACAGACGAGAGATAAAAGTTACGTCCACCCCTCCATCTATTTTCATCCAGGCGCAGGTTGTTGAGAGAGCAGTTTTAACATGAATGCCAGACTTCGCTGTCTCGAACCACCTCCTGTCCTTTCAATGGCTCAAAACGCAGACATTTCCTCGAGTAACTCAATTAAGCAAACTGACAATCCAAAATGTGTTGTTTTAGGCAGAGCAACACCAAGTGGTGTATTGCGGTATTGCCGCTGAAATTCATCGACCCACACTTTCACTGTGGACTTTTGAGTCCATCTCTGAGACCTTGGATCTGGCACCGCGTCTCCCTCCTAAGGCCTTGGACAGTTTACAGGTACCTAGAAAATCGGGCCCAAAACTCCTGCCTGCAATCATGTTTTTGTTTTGGCCACTGCCAACGCTGCACACTCAAAAGGAGACAAATGATGCAAAAAATAAAAATAAAAAATCTATAATTTAAAACAGCTCACGGTTGCCATCATAACATACATTGTCTGAAACGTGCTTTTTATCACAAATACCCCAAGGTCGAGAATTACCGGTAAATCTTTTCAGTGCATTCAAGTAAGTGCTGTTTATCAGAAGTTAACTCTGTTTTCTGTAGCAGTAATCTGCGAAGTCAATTAAAAAAAAAAACAGGTCTGCCTTGGGCAAAACCACAACTGCCAAATTTAAGCATTTAAAGTAAGTGCAAAGAGAAAGTCCATGACATTTTCACACACAGATGCACTTGTCAAGTAGTGTCGCGGTGTGACTTATGACACCTCCAAACACCCCCCCAAAATAAATAAATAAATAAATAAAGAACCTAAGTCCAAGTAGACCACTTAGCCGAGCATTATTGGAACATTATTGGCAGAAGCTAATGCCGGGAAACAAAATGTTATGCAGATTTGTGTTTGCGTTAACACTGCAGCTCCGCTTACCTTTTGGCTTTGACATGCTTGAGCTTTATCCTTCAACAATTTGTATCGAATGACAACATGCCATATTGGCCGCATTTCTCATGATCATGCATCGCATCTCGGGCCTTGGTTTCTCCCCATAAACAAATTTGCATTCTCGTTGCCTCTAAGAATATTCTCGGCAATTGAAGGTGATAATGAAAAGTTGCAGGGTAGCCGAATGCAGAACTTGTTTTTTTTTAATTTTGTTTTCTTTCAAAACTCAATGTAATCCACTGTACATGCAAACAAAGGGAATTGATTTTTTTTTCAGATGTAAGCCATATCACATTCTGATAATTACATTGTTCATTCTCTGACTATTTTAACTTGTACTTTTAAATAATTCATGGAAAGTTTCGGTTTTGAACGAAGTTCATGGAAATGTACCTGAGAATTCTGGGACTTTTCTTTTAAAAAAAAAAGGCCATTCATGTGCGTTGCTATTTTTAAACACACGTCAATTAATGGGAGTTTACATGCGAGGTTCCTAGACTTCACATAGCAAATTTTAACACCGCCCTTCACAAAATTTTCCACTCTAGATAGAGTCTAGTGGAAAAAAACCACATCGGCATTAAACAATGGATTACATTCCACGCCAAGTTGTTAAACAGGTTTTCTTTCATGGGGTTGCATGCCACAAAGTTATTTTGTTTCACAAATGAAAAGACTTTCAATGCAAGTGAACTGCCGAGTGAATTGTCGGGAGAAACTATTCCTACAAGGAGATATTTTCGATGACCAAAGAAGATTTTTTTGTCCAAGGTAATGCATATTAATCTCCAATCTAAGATGTAAAAGTTTTTCAAATACTGTTCTTTCTTCAGTCACTTTAGCATGTGATTTTGAGGGCACACTGAGATGCGTAACTTGTAAGTCATATTTTCTCAGATCCAGATTTCAAACATCCAATGAATATGGAAGGAATTGTTCAACAAGGTGTCCCACTCCATCCACATGAAGACGTGGATATAGCCCCATTTATGGTGACATTTTCTCATATGTTTTGCTCATAACAAATGAAGATCACAAAATTGTCTTGGTAGGAGAGCAATTGTTTGAAAGAAGAATTTGTTTTGCAGGAACCCCAGCATACTTGGATCAAGACATTAGTCAAATGCCTTGGCTCTGGAACAGTAACATTTGTTGTTTCCACTGAATCGAAGTTCTACAAACCGGGTAATGTTTTCACATTCAGTACATCAGGGGTGCCCCAAAAAAAAGATTTGAAATGCGTGCATGGTTGTGCACCCGCATGCTGGTGTGCGCGTATGCGTGTTTTCGTGTGTGTGTGTGTGTGTGTGTGTGTGTGTGTGTGTGTGTGTGTGTGTGTGTGTGTCAATCACGGGAGGTTGGTTGCTTTAAAAGTCGATTTTCGGTCAAAAAAGGTTGGGCACCCCTGCAGTACATGTATTGTGTGCGTGTGTGTGTGTGTGTGTGTGTGTGTGTGTGTGTGTGTGTGTGTGTGTGTGTGTGTGTGTGTGAGGATATCGCAAAAGATACTAATTAATCACACAATTTTCCCGAAATAATTGCGATTAATTTTTCTATTTCTACTACAGGGATGGAGGGGCCCAGAATTTTGCATAAGTGCTACTGGGGGGCCACATTGGACGACCCTATTGTTATCCTAATGTTTGAGCGAAAAATTCAAATTGGGACAAAATATGTGCAAAATACACACTCTTAATATGTTTCATTTTTCATATTTCTTAATGCATATATAACATACCCACTCTTCTACAACAAAGGGTTTGCGGCAAACAACAATTTTTTTTAACCTCGTGGAAAGGGCTCTCTTGCATAAAAATGACCATTCAAGGATGACACAAAATTGCTGAACAAGAAAACATCATTAAGTGCAAGAAGTCATTTGTACATTTTTTCACAAAATTCAATTCACTAAAAAAATTAAGATTATTGAGGGACTGTGTTGGACCTGCACGTCATTCCAAATCCGCAAAAAGGCCTACTAGCATTGTTGTATAGGGCAGCATCGGACCCAATGCAAGTGCAATTCAGCCATGTCAGCCATCTAGTGGTGAATGGTGATATTACAACTTGAAATCATGCAGTGGAACACCCCAATTTGTAGTGTCTTGTGACTGGAATGTCCCGCAAATAGCAAAAATTGGTCTGATGAACAAAACCATAAAAATCAGACTTTAGCTATCCACCCACGAGCACCATTCTACAGTTGCTTTGATATGCGAGATTATGGTCACCATCCGCAGGGTCGTCGAAGGCGTTCATCGGTATCCCTCTGGCAGTTCTCTGCGGGGGATGCTTCCGGAGAATGGCATACCAAGCCCCCTGGAATGCTCTCTCCGGATTGGGGGTGGCGTCTTACCCCAAGTGATGCTAGCTAGCTAGCCAGACAGACAGACAGACAGATTGGTAGATAGATAGATGGCTAGATAGATGACTAGATAGATGGATAGATGGCTAGATAGATAGCTAGATAGATAGCTAGAGAAATATAAAGATATGTGTCTGTAGATAGATAGATAGATAGATAGATAGATAGATAGATAGATAGATAGATAGATAGATAGATAGATAGATAGATGGCTAGCTAGAGAGATAGATATGTGTATGTAGATAGATAGATGGCAAAATGACTAGATAGATGGATAATGTGTATATAGATAGATAGATAGATAGATAGATAGATAGATAGATAGATAGATAGATAGATAGATAGATAGATAGATAGATAGATAGATAGATAGATAGATATCTCACAAAGAGTTAACGGCTAAGTGTGCGAATTTTTTTTTGTGCCACGAGCTAACAGCTATAACCTTCTTTATCTAAAAAGATATCCAGCAGGACAGTCTCACGGAAAATGAGGCCTTCCAATACCTCGTCTACATCTTGGAGCATAGGTACAAAATACAGAATGTATTTTGAGTATTTTAAAACTTGTTTACAGCAATACAAATTGGAGGTGTTTTTTTTTTTTCTTGTTTTTGTTTCTGGGTTGTTTTTTTTTGTAAGCAGTTGCGAAAAGGTTGATTGTTTCTTCAAAAATATTGCACTGCACCTCATGCCACATTTTTGCTAAGTTTGAGCCAGGCGTTGTTCAATTGTAAAATTTAAAAAAGAGACATTCTATGGCGGATAAATAAACAAACTCATCGTATTGCATAGCATAAGTTCTTTGCATCATACTTTCAAATCAAATTGAATTCCACTGCATTGTGATTAGGAGAGAAGTCCTATTGCATCGATAACTGCGGCTAAGGTATCTAGTTTTATATATATAAACATATATATAAACACATATATATAAACACACACACACACATATATATATATATATATATATATATATATATATATATTTTTTCTTTGTTCATTACATGATACTGAAGTCTGCTGAAATTGCATGTACAGTATGGTTTTATGAGGAGTTTTACCCATTAAATGCAAAAATCCATCATTCTTAGTGTCTACTGTAATTTGGATTTTTGAGCATCACACATTGTTCTTCTTCAATGAAGTTGCACTCATTCTGGACTCACAAACAAACCATTCTCTCATCCTCTAGGTGAAGGAATCCAAGTCGTTGTGGACATCATCAACCAGTCACCTTGTTCAGTCACGCTCAAGTACATATTGTACAGGAAGCAAAGTCGGATTTCCCCAGGTAGGAGGATAACTGGAGTGTTTCCGATTGTGAGGAAAAAAGCCAAGCCTCTTCGCCCTCACAGCAAAGGGACTGTAAGGGATGTGATCACCATCCCGAGAGGGATACCTCCCACCATCTCGATGGGTTCACCCGTCGAACTTCAGTACATATTGAAGGTAAGCCAGACCAGGCATATACATGTATCAGAATACGTGTTTTTCATTGTAAAAAAAAAAAAACCATCATCGGGCTCAAATCCCTACTGGTCGATTAAAGATTGGCGTATGCCCAACAAGCACGGGAACTTACTCAGACCCTGGTTTGTGGACAACACCATCTTCCAATAACTGTTCTCCTCCCAGCTTCTCCCATTCAGCGCTTCAAAAAGTCAACAGGAAATTTGTGCTTGTTTGAAGCCTTTCATCAAATCTCAAAGGAAAAGTAATTGAAAAAGTATATTTGCCTTTTTCGGGGGGGGGGGGGGGTACACAGCACTACAGACCTTTTTGTTTGTGTAATGACCCAATCTTACCATCTTTGATGGAGCTGGACATTTCGTATGAAAATAAAATCATCTTATTTTCTGTGTATTTTCTCCAGATCTGTTTGGGTATGACTGGCTCAAGCTCCACTTACCTCAGCATGCCAATAGTTGTACTACCCACCAGTCTGCATTCCATCAAACAACATCAAAAGTTGCTGAAGGCTTTAACTTTGGGAGATACTCTATATCCAAACCCAAACCAGCAAATACGGAGTGGCGGAAACCCACCACGAAAACCCCGATCTATGGACACCCCTATGAATTACTGAGCTGATGAAAATGGGAAGCTATTGCTCTGTATTGCTTATCTTGTACATGGAATCCATACAATGTAAACAGATTTCATCCAAGCATGGTGTGTATAAGACCTTTCAAAGTTGCTCATAGGTGGCAATCGTTTGTTATTGATTCAATGAAGTGGATGTACAGTACAAGCAAACAAATTGCAACAAAATGGCTGTATGTAGATATGTACAGTGTACAGTTGTGTATTCATATTTATGTGTGTATATGTTTTATATGATATTTAATATGATATTTTTTTTTTTAATTTGTAATGAATTATGTTAACACACACAAAAAAAAAACAAGACATATCATTGGTTTTAGGCAGTTCACCGTATACACACAAAACTCATCAACTTACAACTCATCATCGACAGTGACCCCGATTATATTGTTCAGGGCCAGTGGCGGAGAATGGTACATACAGCTGCATAATTTGTTGCGCACACTGAAATAAATGGAATTCCTACTTCAGTCTTAATTTGCATTGTATTTCATCTGAATTAGCCGAATTGAGGCTACCGCTCGGGTTACCTGTGTGAATATGACACCTCCGGGCTTGTTCACATGACCACTTGTGACACAGATACAAGTCCAGTTTTTTAGAGAGGTCGGCCGCTTGACAGGATTGCATCAGCCCTGCCTCCGTCCACTCCTCATCACCGAGAAGAGGGGTGAGAAATGTGACCTGATCATGTCGATAAAGCTTTTCTCTGTGGAATACGATCAAGTGAATGAAAGCAGAACTTTCTCTTCCGGAGATGTTCTCTCTGGAAGAGTGACTGTGGTGGCCAGGAAGGAAACCAAAGTGAAGTGTTTGATGGTCAGCGCGAAAGGAAAGGCTGAGGTCAAATGGTTTGATCGAGATGGACAGACGACAGTGCTCCACCGAGATGAGGAGAAATATTTCTATTTGGAACACATTATTCTTCAGGATAAAAATAGAGGAGATGGTTTGTATTTTTTTCTTTCCAAACATGTAGTATAGGCCATTGCATGCTACTTACATAATATGACCCTAAATTATTCACACAATGGCCAAATGTTTTTTTTTCCCTTAGGGATGGGAGGGGGGGGGGGGGGGTTTGTAAAATTCTCATGGAGCTGGACATTTCGTATGAAAATAAAATCATCTTATTTTCTGTGTATTTTCTCCAGATCTGTTTGGGTATGACTGGCTCAAGCTCCACTTACCTCAGCATGCCAATAGTTGTACTACCCACCAGTCTGCATTCCATCAAACAACATCAAAAGTTGCTGAAGGCTTTAACTTTGGGAGATACTCTATATCCAAACCCAAACCAGCAAATACGGAGTGGCGGAAACCCACCACGAAAACCCCGATCTATGGACACCCCTATGAATTACTGAGCTGATGAAAATGGGAAGCTATTGCTCTGTATTGCTTATCTTGTACATGGAATCCATACAATGTAAACAGATTTCATCCAAGCATGGTGTGTATAAGACCTTTCAAAGTTGCTCATAGGTGGCAATCGTTTGTTATTGATTCAATGAAGTGGATGTACAGTACAAGCAAACAAATTGCAACAAAATGGCTGTATGTAGATATGTACAGTGTACAGTTGTGTATTCATATTTATGTGTGTATATGTTTTATATGATATTTAATATGATATTTTTTTTTTTAATTTGTAATGAATTATGTTAACACACACAAAAAAAAAACAAGTTCACCGTATACACACAAAACTCATCAACTTACAACTCATCATCGACAGTGACCCCGATTATATTGTTCAGGGCCAGTGGCGGAGAATGGTACATACAGCTGCATAATTTGTTGCGCACACTGAAATAAATGGAATTCCTACTTCAGTCTTAATTTGCATTGTATTTCATCTGAATTAGCCGAATTGAGGCTACCGCTCGGGTTACCTGTGTGAATATGACACCTCCGGGCTTGTTCACATGACCACTTGTGACACAGATACAAGTCCAGTTTTTTAGAGAGGTCGGCCGCTTGACAGGATTGCATCAGCCCTGCCTCCGTCCACTCCTCATCACCGAGAAGAGGGGTGAGAAATGTGACCTGATCATGTCGATAAAGCTTTTCTCTGTGGAATACGATCAAGTGAATGAAAGCAGAACTTTCTCTTCCGGAGATGTTCTCTCTGGAAGAGTGACTGTGGTGGCCAGGAAGGAAACCAAAGTGAAGTGTTTGATGGTCAGCGCGAAAGGAAAGGCTGAGGTCAAATGGTTTGATCGAGATGGACAGACGACAGTGCTCCACCGAGATGAGGAGAAATATTTCTATTTGGAACACATTATTCTTCAGGATAAAAATAGAGGAGATGGTTTGTATTTTTTTCTTTCCAAACATGTAGTATAGGCCATTGCATGCTACTTACATAATATGACCCTAAATTATTCACACAATGGCCAAATGTTTTTTTTTCCCTTAGGGATGGGAGGGGGGGGGGGGCGTTATCTAAAATTCTAAAGTTCATTGCAATGCTCTAGAATAGAGTTGACAAGTTCCTCCAAACATGCACGATTGCTGATTGTGCCAAATCCTGTTCGACTTTCGCTTTCTTTCCTACAAGGATCTGAAATTGTTCATCAAGGGAGAAATGTGTATCCTTTTACCTTTGAGATTCCAAACATGTGAGTACTCTTCATCTCCACTTATGTAGACAAAAGTCTTGGGACACACCTCTTAAATCAGAAATTAGATGATCGGGGCTTGGATGTGATCTACTAGTATTTTGTGAATCCTAATTCTTCATTTTGACAAAAACAAAAGTCAAGACTTTTTATTAGCCAAACACGACACAGAGAATGGCTGATCTGTTGCAAATGCAGAGGGTCAGGGTAACTAGACCATTAGTTTGTTAACATTTGATTTGTAAACTGTAATACAGTTTTAATGGCATACAATATATTAAGGGATTTGTGTGAATTCACCACTTATGTCTTAAAGAAATCTTGTCAAATATAATATAAATTTATGTGGCCATCACAATCCCGGGGGGCTGACTTGTCTGGCCAGGTGTTCCAAAACTTATGTCCATATATTTCCTCACCAAATAAAGACCCTACCACTCATGATAATTTCTTTGCAGAGAAATGCCTTCGTCGTATGATGGAAAATGGGGCAGAATCTCATACGGTTTACAAGCTCAATTGACTCTGTCAATCTGGAGCATCCACAAAAGCAAAATTGAGTTCCCATTTCTGACCAAGTCTGAGTTTCCCTTTGCCTCCAAATCAGAAATGTTGATCATCGGACTTCAAGTATGCAATTGATTGAATGAATCCACAGAATATTCCTGTCAGAGAATGTGTTTTCTGACTTTGTATCATTGTTGCTATAGGAACGGCAATGCTCAACCAAAATTTCATTTCATGGCTCTGGAAAGGTTACTTTGAGGGTTACTTCGGAGAAAATGGGGCTGATGCAAGGTGAACGCATTTCAAGGGCCGTGCCTAATGAATGTTTGATGTGACTATATGACTTACATGATGTACATTTGTCACTCCTTGTAGGTGAAACGATGCAAGTGTGGGTTGAAGTCATCAACAACTCAAATCGCACAGTAACACCCAAATTTTTCCTTTGTGAGAAGCAAATGTTTGTCGCTCAGTCCGAGGCTATTGTGCACACAAATGAGATCCCCTTCGGTACGGGAGAATCTGTTTCAGCTCGCAGCAGTCTCACCATGAGCAATGTTCTACGTATCCCACCGCAGCTCTACCCCACCTTCTTCAACTGCTCCATGATCAAGTTCGAGTATACACTCAAGGTAATCGTGGCTGAACTTAGTTTAGATATGTGAGGGTTTTTTTGTTGTTGTTGTTGTTGTTGTTATGTTGTATTTGTGGAATTCTGTCCCAGTACCCAGACCTCATTTGCATTCCAAAGTGCACCAAACTGTTTGCTCTCACTGATTTGAGTGGGTTTTATTTGCATGAATGAGCTCATAAGTGCAGTGACTAAATGTTATGTTTGGTTGCAGGTCACACTTGGTGAGCCACTGACAAGAGATCCAGACATCAAACTTCCTCTGGTCATTCTACTGGCTTCTTCCCAACCATATCATCAAAAACCAAAAATCGTCCATGGGACATGAAATGATGAAACTGCTAAATTACTGTGATGCAATTTGGCAGTGGCTGGAATGTGAATGTGGATTTAATTAACTTCCGTTTCCTTGTAGTGTTTGTTCTCAAACAATGTCTTTTTTTTTTTTTTTTTACAATTCCTGTATGAGGAAAGTTACTGGTATGAATAAAATGAGGACATACCTCCAATGACAACAGCACTCAATGCAGCTCAGCCAAGCCCAAGTGAAGCATTCCAAATGTCAACGTAATGTTTCTATTTCTGATGCTGTTTGATTTTCTCCAGTTAATAGTGTGCAAGTGGTGATTTTTCATTTGTACCAAATTTGGCGGTGGCCACACACACACCAAAAAAATGTGTTGAATTTATGAAATTGATAACAATAAAAAATGTATCTCGATCCCGATGATTTCATTTCGTGCAACCACTTGACAAAATAAAATGGATTGATGGATGGATGGATGGATGGTCCTGAATCTTTTCAAACACACCTCAGAGTTTGAATTAATACAGTAGTAATGAATTTGGGTCACCCTTGACCTTTGTTTCCATAGGAGCAGTGTCATATGTAAAGTGTGATATCTCCCTCTAATCCCTAAATTCTACATACGCATGAAAAAACATCTTTGGAACCGCGGTGGGAGTATTGGGTGGGCAGCAGTATGTAGAGCCTGCTCGGTAACTGGCTCCTTGTACAGTGTGGAGGCGGCCAGGTCTCTCTCTCTCTCTCTCTCTCTCTCTCTCTCTCTCTCTCTCGCTCGCTCGCTCTCTTCCTTCCCCTTTTGCCTGAGTGTCTCTCTCCCATTCTCGCCCTCCCTCTCTCTCTTTTTCTTTCTCCTCTCAAGCGTGCAATTCGGAAAAATGGGAAAGGCGGCGCAGCTTCTGGAACCTCCCACCTCCAGAATTAGCACCATGACAACCATGTGGGCCTGCTGGCGTCTCCCTGTCTTCACCAGCCGCCGTTGCCATGGTAATTCCCCATGGGGCTCCCGCAGATCAGCGGGATGGGCGTCCAGTTGACTAACGCTCTCCCAGTCTGGGAAAAGCTGGAGGAAGGAGAGGGCGGCGCGCAAGGCGAGTTTGTATTAATGTGTGCAGCAGAACCTGGCAGTGCCCATCTTTGCATTTAGTCTGCTTCTGTCTTGAAAATAAGAGTGCGGACCTCCACCAAGGTTTCAACATTTGCCAACTATGATATCAATGAGTAGCCTCGCTAGCCGAGTGTTCAAATTCGAGTATAAGTGCAACAAATGACATCTGGTGTCATGAATGCATTTCCTGATATTAAAATTTAGGTTGCTTGCAATGTGGATCAGATTCGATTTTACCAATTCTGGCCCTGTACACACATTTGTATACTATTGATACATACAAGATTATATTAGTTAACATGATATATAGTTTAGATTAAATTATGGATAACAATAAATAATAAATAAATAATTAAATTTTTAGATTTTTTTTTTTTAATGTAATTCTCGCCCCCCCCCAAAAAAAAGAGAACACCTTTTTGCGTGTGAAAATCATCCCAAATGAAGAGAAAGTTGCTGATTTAATGGCTAGCTTTAGCGGAAAATAACACTGGTGGAAAGAGATTGTAAGACATTGTGTTGAGAGATATTATTGTACATTTTAATAGATAATATACATTTACATTTACATTTAATAGTTTGCTGCTTTGATTCTAAAATTTTGACGAAATGTTCCATGTCCTAAATTATCCACACTCTCGAGTATGTCAGTACAGAAAGTACAGTAGTTCATTAGAATGCGGGAAAAGTGATCATCATCACCATTTGGCGCAACAAAAATAACTTCTTACATTATTCTAACTCTTTCCTGTGCCATTACCAGGCGAAAGCTTTAAATTAATTTTCTCCTTAACCCGTTTGGCCAAAAAGCGTTTCTCAAAGAGAGTTGCAAACAAACGAAGTAAGAACAACCTCGGCACGCTCCAACCAGCGAGAGCATTTTATGACCTCTTTAATGACATCGAGTGGCGCAAAACTGCACTGCATCATCTGCTCCTGTTTCAAACATTTGACTTACATTTGTGTATATTACATGAGTGGAATAAAATAAACAACTTTCAGTGTTATGCGTTACAGATCTAAACCAATGCAAACTACGAGCAAAATAATAAAAATGTTGTGAAGCTAAATATCTCTCAGACAGTGTCTGTCAAGATAAATGTTCTGGCCAATGTGCTGATCTCATTCATGCCTTATTTCACACAAATCCTCCCGAAGATACAACACTTCTGTCGTCCTGCATTTTACAGTCACTGCTACTAAGGAACACTTTCGGTGGGGTTTGGACCATGTGTGGCTCCATGTCAGCAATGGCCTTACTTGAGCCTCAGGCAAGGAGAGGATTGAGTTGTTTTTTTTCAGTCACTAATTGTTCCAAGCTGTTTGTGTGTCAGCATGTCAGCTACATATTCAAAGCAACAAAACGTCATTAATTTAGAGTGGATCGCTTCTTTAGCATACATCATAAATGGTGACAGTTTCGATTTGATGCACAAAGTGAAGGGCAGTTTAATCAGTTGTTGTTCATAATGAGCATTTATTGAAAAACGAGAGATAAACGTTCCATGGTAAATGCTCTCCGATGTAATGTGAGTGCAGAAAATGTTTCTACTTTTTCATATAAAATCCGTAAAACATATAAAAGGATGACAAGGCAATTCAGTCAGTGTTACAAGAAGGCAATACGCCCAAACATTCTACGCTAATTCAAATACAGTACTCTGTTTATTGTCTCTAGTTATGCGTGCAATAATACTTCTAACTAGCTCAAAAGTGTATGACTAGACTGTGCACTTGTAGTGGTCGCCTTTGGAATTAAAAAATGGTTGATTTAAAAAAAAAAAAAAAGGAAGAAGAAGAATCCCTTGACATGAGATGATTATCGAGAAAAGATATTTTGATAAAGAGTTTATTTATGAAACTCAGAGAAGCAGCCTCCTCTGCATAGGTGGACATTGCATATCTTGCATCCAAACACGCTCTCATGCCGTAGTCCCTTGTTGGTGCAGTTCCTGCAGCGCCGCGAGCGTTCCGACATGCGCTCCAGGCGGTGTCCGTACTCGATGGGCGAGTCGGCGTGCCTCTTCCTGGCGGCGCGCTCCATGCCCCTGGCACCCTGGTAGTCTCCGATGAGCTGCTGTGCCAGCCGCACTCGGAAGTGGCGTTGGGTGAACTGCTTCCCGTTGAGGCCGGTCGGCGACGTGCCCCCTTTGCTTTCCCTCAGGAGGACGTAGGCGTTGACGATGCACACGTTGACGTAAAACCACAGAAAGTAGCGCCACCACTTTCTGCATGGCCGGCCCACCTGGTAGCACTCCCTCAGCTGGTCACACAAGTCCACTCCCTTCATGTTCTCCTGGTACAGCAACAAGGGGAGTGGCCTCGGTTGGCCGAAAGACAAACCTGAGCTCTCCATGCTGTCGCTGTCCCCCTCACCGTCCGTCTCGCGGCCGTGCTGCTCCCCTGGGCTGATACCCACAATCCCTGGCGCGGAGTTCGTGGATAGGCAGCTAATGACCTTGATGTCCCGTGTCACCGTAGCAACCAGGTTGCCACGCTGGCACTGATAAAATTCCCCCTGGGACAGCTTGCCCACATTTCGAGGGCGGAGGACCTCAGGGAAACCTTTACGTCCTGAATGAGTGGGCCCGCAGGCATAAAGTCCGTCTTTCAGCAGTCTCTGGAGGAGAGGCACCGAGTTGAACAAGCTGTCCATGAAGAGGTGATGGTATTGACCTTCCAGGCCCCGCACAAGGGAGGTGACCACCCTGTATCCCTGCAGCACCACCGCACGGTCCTCACTGGGCCGGCCCACGTGAATCTTGGCTCGGTGGCAGTAGCCCGAGCGCGAGTCACACAGCATCCACACACTCAAGCCTTTTCTCAGGGGCTTGGAGGGCATGGAGTGCGTGGGCGAAGAACGCCCCTTGGTGACAAGGGCGCTCTTGTCTATAGTCAGACAGCGGTTGGGCGTGTACGCGTCCCACATGGTGTTGTCCAGCACATCCAGGAGAGGCCTGATTTTGAAAAGGCCGTCGTAGCCGCGCTCGCCTCGCACGGGCTCAGTCTCCCTGTCGCAAAGCTGGAGATACTGGGTGAGCTTCTCAAAGCGCCTCGCGGTCATGGTCTTTTTAAAGCCGGCGTTGCCTATGAAAATGTCACTGGCCCAGTACATGTCACTCTCTGGCAGCTGATTGATGCCCATGAGGATGTTGAGGCCCACGTAGGCTCTCATCTCCCTGGCGTGGGTCGGGTGCCAATGTGAGTCTGTTTTGCCGCTCCTCCTTTGCCGATAGAGGGCGTAGTTGTTTGTTTGTTCCACCATGTGTTCAAAAAGCGAATCTGGGAAGAGTATCCGGAAATAGTCACGGGGTTCGGCGTCATCCCCCAGCGAGTGCTGAGGGCCGCTGGAAGCATTAAAAGTCTCGATAGAAATCACCTGGTCCGGTTCGCCCCAGAAGTCCGGAGACGTGCAGTCCTCGAACAAGTCTTCATCGTAGCCGAGAAAGCTCGCTCGCTCCTCTTCCTCTTCCTCCAAATCGGAGAAATCGAGGTCAGAGTCGTTCGAGGCGACATCGGAGCAGTTAGTGGAGGTGGAATAGTAGCACTCCTCCGAGTTGTCCTCCTCCTCATGCTTGAGTCCATTGCTCCCAGTCACCAAAATGATGTTGCAGCCTGCCCCGGCCACAAGGCTGCCGGCCGCTGCCGCCGCCGTACTCGCGGACCCATTCTCCCCCACGCCGCCGCTGACACCGTCCTCCTCTTCCTCCTCGTCTTCGTCCTCCTCCTCCTCCTCCCGCGCTCCGTCTTCGTCGTCGGAGTCGGGCTTTTTGTACGGAATTTCAAACCACTTCACGTCGGCAGAAAGATTTAGCGGGTACTCTTGGCCGTCGCACGCCGTACTACTTTCTGTATCCGCGCTCGTTTCCAAAATGGTAAAAAGCTCCCTTCCGTTTCTTGCCGTCGCCATGTCGGGGTATTAAAGTGCCCCTGCATGAGTCCCCTTTCGGCGTGTTCTTTTCCACGCGGCAGGGAAATAGACGCACAAAGCAGTCATCCGAAGTGAGTCGATGTGCTCTGGAGGGCAGCGTCTCGGGCAAACGTTGAACCTATGCGGCGTTTGAGGGCTCCATTCGCATTGTTTCCGCTCCCGGTTCTTTGTGGGCTTCGCGGCGCAGTGTGGCCGCAGACGTCAGAAGCTGCATGCATGTCCTGCTTGCTAGGGCGTTTTGCGACTGCAGCTGGTGGGGTTGCTAGTTCGCAAGGCTGGCAGATGGCCGCTCGCTCTTCTAATGCCCGCTGGCATTCGGCG